AGATAATATTAATATGACATATAAACAATTAAGCTACAAATTTGTGGGATTCAATATAATTAAAAACTAAAATTGAGTTCGTATATAGAAATCTAAGATCACGCAAAACAAAAATTTTGTTCTTGCATGTAAATAATTTAACTAGATTTGGGAGATTGAAATAAAACAAAAATGTATGAAATTTTGCATAGATTTGACGTAACGTCGTTTAGATCTGCTCTATACACTTGTTTAAATTAAAAACTTTAATATAATATGTAAGTATTAATCAAAATAAAAAATAAAACAAAGATATGTTTTTCCAAATTCGGATTCTTATTAACATAATTTTTATACAGCTTTAATTTATTATAGATTTTCAAATACACACAATATTTAAGATAATAAATTTATAGTGGCACTCATGAATTTCGCATTTATTTATATTACACCACTGTGCCTATTGGCACATAAATAATTCTCATATGTAGACGTCTGTGCAAAATTAGCTAATGTGCGCATTTTCATGCTCTCCCTCTTTTCCTGTCTCTCTCTGACATGCCCACACTCGCGGCACTTCTCTCTATTTTTAAAGCTCATTATTTACCGCTTCTCTCTGTGCAGCCGACAGTCGATTTTAAATGCTGTGCTCAGCACGCTCTCTGCAGCACTCTCAGCAAGCTCTAAGCAAGCCGGCTGTAAATTTGCATTGGCACAGGCGATCGTCAGTTGCCTTTGTTTGTTTGCGGCGTTCGGTCGGTGAGAGAGAAAGTGCAACAGAGTTCGAGAGGAAAGCAAGGGGGAAGTCGAAAAACGAAACGGAAAAAAATGAGCCTCATGGTGGCTTGGCTGCTGCTTCTGTTGGTGCAGTGGATGGGATCGGCTGTGGCGCAGCCCTTTCCCAACTATCATGCGAACTTTGTGGACATTGAGCAGCAGAAGAATGCGCCCAAATGGTGGCAAACGGGCGCCTTCTATCAAATTTACCCAAGGTCATTTAAAGACAGCAATGGCGACGGCGTGGGCGATCTGAACGGTGCGGCAAATGCGGGCAAAACAAAGTAAACTAATACGTAATAGGCATTCTAAAAGTAATTTGCGTTTGCAGGCATCGCGGATCGTTTGCCATATCTGAAGGAACTGGGCATTACGGCCACTTGGCTGTCGCCCATCTTCACCTCGCCCATGGCGGACTTTGGCTACGACATTGCCAATTTCACGGAAATAGCACCCATCTTTGGCACCATGGCCGACTTCGAGCACCTGATGAAGGTGGCCAAGCAGCTGGATGTAAAGATCATTTTGGACTTTGTACCGAATCACTCGAGTGATGAGTGCGATTGGTTCAAGCGTTCCGCTGCAGGCGAACCGGACTACAAGGACTTCTATGTGTGGCATCCCGGGCGCATGGTGAACGGCACGCGTCAGCCGCCCAGCAACTGGCGGAGTGTGTTCCGCGGCTCCGCTTGGCAGTGGCACGAGGGACGACAGGAGTACTATCTGCACCAGTTCCTGAAGAAGCAACCGGATCTCAATTATCGAAATCCCAAAGTGCGAGAGACCATGAAGGTGTGTTTGAGTGCATAAGTTGTGTGAAATAGGGAATGAATCGAGTAAATAGTAGTAGAAAGTAGCGGAGTTTAGTGGAAAGTATGTAATCTATTCTGATAAAAGTATTATTGCAGAAAAAAAAGTAGGAGAAAGTAGATCAGTTGTGTAGTAAATAGTAGTAGTAGTGGTAAAAGTGGATAGTAGTAGAGTAGAAGGTAATAATGGAGTAGAAGATAGTAGTAGATGGTAAATTTGAGTAGTAGAAAGTAGTAAGTAGTAGTAGATAGTAGTAGAAGACAGATCAGTAGAGTAAGAAATAGTAGAAAGTAGATCAGAGTAGTAGAGAGTAAATCAGTAGAGTAGTGAATAGTAGTAAAAAGTATTTCAAAGTAGTAGATAGTAGATCAAGGTAGTAAACAGTAGTAAATAGTAGTAGAAAGTAGATCAGAGTAGTAGATAGTGAATAAGTGGAGTAGTGGATAGTAGTAAAAAATATTTCAGAGTAGTAGATAGAAGGTCAAAGTAGTCAACGGTAGTTCAGAGTAGTAAATAGTAGTAGATGTGGACTTATCCATCTAATTCTAGACTGGCTCTTGCTTTGATCTTGCATTGATCGTGTCCTTAATGTCTATTCCTTCTTCCAGAATGTTCTCCGCTTCTGGTTGTCCAAGGGCGTGGCCGGCTTTCGCATTGATGCGGTGCCGAGCGTGTTTGAGATAGCGCCCGATGCAGCGGGTCAATATCGCGACGAGCCCCGCAACGAATGGGTCAATGATCCGGATGACTACGGCTATCTGCAGCACATATACACAGTGGATCAGCCGGAGACAGTTGCCATGGTCTACGATTGGCGCGCCGTGCTGGATGAGTTCAAGGAGGGCGACGAGCGCATCTTGCTGGCCGAGACCTATTCACCCATCGATATTGTGATGCAGTACTACGGCAATGCAACGGCCGAGGGAGCTCAGCTGCCGTTCAACTTTCTGCTGATAACCGAAATCTCGAACAATTCCAATGCGAACGACTACGCACGGACCATACAGAAGTGGCTGCAGCACATGCCGAAGGGTCGCACAGCCAACTGGGTGGTAAGTAAGTGAATTCCTATGCCCGACTGGGATCTAATGGTGTCTCATTCCCAGCTGGGCAACCACGATCAGTGGCGCGTGGGCTCGCGCCTGGGCGCCGATCGCGTGGACATGCTGAATATGCTGATCACCACACTGCCGGGCGCCAGCGTGACCTATCAGGGCGAGGAGCTGGGCATGACCAATGTGTGGATATCCTGGAAGGATACCGTCGATCCCTCCGCCTGCAATACCAATGCCAGCATCTATGAGCGCTTCTCGCGCGATCCCGAGCGCACGCCCTTCCAGTGGAGTGGCGAGACCGATGCTGGCTTCAGCAATGCCAGCAAGACGTGGCTGCCCATTGCCGAGGACTATAAGTGGGTCAATGTCGAGGAGGAGAGTAAACAGAGCTTGAGTCATCTGAATATCTACAAGAATCTGCTGAGGCTCAAACGTCAAGCGAAAACCTTGCAGCAGGGCGAAACTGAGGTTAAGGCTTTGAGTGATGCGGTTCTGGCTGTCAAGCGGTGAGTCGATTGAGGTGACTACAAAAACACTATTTGATTGATGGGAATATTATATTCGCAGTTTCCTTCCGCATGACTTTATCTATGTGACCGTGCTGAACATCTTTGATGGCGTTGAAACCGTCAATCTGAATCAAAGCTTCTCAGATTTGGCAGCCCAAATGGAAGTTGTGCTGGTTTCAAGAAACCCTGAGCTGAAAGTCGGGTAAGAGCAAAGAATAGAGAACGAATAAGATATTAAATATGGATTTTTTTTTTTTTTTAATAAAATTAATATAATTCAGATATCATTGAATACGAAAAGGGATATGCTATATATACATTTTATATTGAATTCTAAAACACAATGAAATTGATCCATAAAAAATTTGTAGTTTAATACATTATTCAAATTAAACATAATCGGAATTTAAAGTCACTTAAAGGTCTTCAAAGTAGTTAGAATATAGCTATTTTCATATTAGTCAACTTAAATAAATTAATAGGAAATACCCATGCTTTTAATTAACTTTTAAACAAAAATTCATTTCTAGCTGAGTCACAGAGCTTAGTAATTTTTCCATTAACCCACCTGGGCAACTATTTAAGAAAATACTTCAAGAAAGTAAATACAATTTTTGCTACTTCCACAATACTCAACTCTATACACAAAGTACTTACAGAAAATATGTATATACATATGTTTATCTGTATATATAAAAGCTGCAGTTGGGGCTACTTCAGTTAACGATAAATGTAAATATTTGTATCAAATAGGTGTATATAAATGTTTGTCTATGTATATAACTAAATACCAAAATATTTTATGATGAAAGAAAAGATCAAGTTACTTTATTTAATTATATAAGCAAAATACTTATAGGAAATGTATATGATATTAACATATATTATGGAAAAGTAATAATTTAAAGTAGCTAAAGACAACTCAGCTTTATAAATATACATAAGTGAAAGTATATAAATAAATACAATAAATATATATATACATACATTTATATAAGCTGAAGTATACAACACATATTTTGGCACGTATTTCAATTTAAATTTTAGTAATTATTTAAAATTATATTAAATGTTGAGTTATAGATCTGCAACTTTTTCTTATCCTAGCTGATACAATTTTTTATAGAACAAAATTTATTTTAGTCAAATTAGAGTACTCGCAATTTTTACCTGCAATTTTTTTTAATTCATAACTGATTAATTATTGTGTAAAACAAAATTTGTTTTATTAAAATTAGAGTATTCGTTGAGGAAATATAATTAAAATATAAAATATAATTAATTAAGAAATGAAAAATAAAAATAGTTAAATCTATTCGACTCGGCACATTTTTAGATATATTTTATAATATATATATTTTTTAATATTTTATTTTCTTACTTTTTTAAATGACTCAAAAATAATATTTTTAATTAAAAAAAAAAAAATAGTTAAAAATATTTAAGTACTTGACACATTTTTAGATAGACTTTATATTATATATATTTCAATCTTTTTTTTTTTTACCTATTTTTTAATGACTCACGATACTATAACTTTTTTCCCCACTTATATTTCCGCAGTGATCGTATCAATGTCTCCGCACTGCAGCTGCTACCCAAGGAGTCGCTGGTTCTGCGAACTATCTCCACTTACTACACGTACTATACGAATGGGGAGCAGCGTCAGCTGCCTGTGCTGGGCATTTACCTGGTGCTGGCTCAAGTGCTGCTCTATCTGAGCTCTCGTTGAGCTCTGTAGTTGTTAAGTGATAAAAATACCAAATAAATACTTACACACAATCTAAGCACTTGACACAACTGACTCGAGTTGGGTAGAAGCTTGGGGTGGGGGAGAATTCGGCACCTATATAAATGGCTCTATAGACTCACTCGAGCATTAGTTATGGCGCATTTATTAAAGTTGTTGGTGACGTTGCTCTGCTTGGCGCTGAGCTGTGAGCGGGGCCAGGCGGCGGCCATTGAGCTGGAGCGAGTGAGCAGCAGCGAGGCGACTCGGGACTGGTGGCAGGTTGCACAGTTCTATCAGATCTATCCGCGCTCCTTCAAGGACTCCAATGGCGATGGCATTGGCGATCTGCAGGGCATCATCTCCAAGCTGGACTATCTCAAGGAACTGGGCGTGACGGCCACCTGGCTGTCGCCCATCTTCACCTCGCCCATGGCCGACTTTGGCTACGATATTGCCGATTTCTTTGACATCCAGGAGGAGTACGGCACGCTGGATGATTTCGATCAGCTCATTGCCGCTGCCAACGAGCGCGGACTGAAGATCATACTGGACTTTGTGCCGAACCATTCGAGTGACGAGAACGTCTGGTTCCAGAAGTCGGTGCGCCGCGAGAAGGGCTACGAGGACTACTACGTGTGGCACGATGGCTATGTGAATGCCAGCACGGGAGCGCGGATACCGCCCTCCAATTGGCTGCAGGCCTTCCGAGGCAGCGCCTGGGAGTGGAACTCACAGCGTGGCCAATACTATCTGCATCAGTTTGCCGTTAAGCAGCCCGATCTCAACTATCGCAATCCGGCGGTCGTGGCCCAGATGAAGCGCGTGCTCACCTACTGGCTGGATCGTGGCGTTGCCGGCTTTCGCATCGATGCCGTGCCCTGGTGCTTTGAGGTGCTGCCCGATGCTGACGGCCGCTATCCTGACGAGCCGCTGAGCGGCTACACCCAAGATCCAGACGACTCGGCGTATCTGAAGCACATCTACACACAGGATCAGATTGAGACCGTGGACATGGTGTACCAGTGGCGCCAGCTGCTCGACGACTACAAGCGCATTCATGGCGGCGATACGCGCGTCCTCATGGTGGAGACCTATTCGAGCCTGGACTACGTCATGAAGTTCTACGGCAATCGCACAACCAAGGGCGCCCAGATCCCCTTCAACTTCCAGTTCATTGTCGGCGGCGAAGGCAACAAGAACAACACGGAGCTGAGTGCGTATGGATTCGTGAAGATCATCAATAGTTGGCTGGGCCAGATGCCAGCCGACCAAACGGCCAATTGGGTGGTGAGTCTCAAATGGAAGTAGGATTCAGAATTTGTTAGAGTGTGAGTGGGAGATTGCTCGACTGGGAAATACCCTGAGATCTGCGAAGAGCGACAATTTCACTCTTTGTAGGCTTCTTTTATGCGTAAATAGCTCACACACCCACACGCACGCTTGCATAGATGCTTATTGCGCAGCTTACACGCTGAGATTTTATTCAAGGCAGGCTTCTTTTATCCATATATACATAGGTCACACATACATACCCACTCGCATAATCGCGCTCTTTGCCTTGTCGCTCTTTGAGCTGAGATTTCACTCAAGGCAGGCTTCTTTTATGCAAAAAATAGCTCACACACATACAAGAAAGAAGAGCGGAAATTTCAATCACTGCAGGCTGCTTTTATGCATAAATAGCTTACACACACACGCGCTCATACATAAATACATACCCACTCGCATAATCGCGCTCTTTGCCTTGTCGCTCTTCGAGCTAAGCTTTCACTTAAAGCACGCTTCTTTTATTCATACATAACTCTGACACTCACATACACACACGCTTTCGCTCTGCGCGCTCTGCTTACAGCGCATTTGACGGGACGAAGAGCTGAAATTTCACTCATTGAAAGCTTTCTTTACAAAGCACACACACACGCTTGCATAGATGCGCGCTCTGCTTACTGCGCAGTTTACGCGGCGAAGAGCTGAGATTTCACTCGCACGTTCCTTTTATGCATACATAACGCACACACACACATACGCACGTTTGATGCTGCTTACGCGGCGAAGAGCTGAGATTTCACTCATTGCAGACTTCTTTTATGCATGCATAGCTCAATCACACACATACATGCACACCCGCTTGCGTATTGGCCTTGCTTGATAAATAGCTGGACTTCTATTTATATGGACACTACTGATCAAACGATCTTCAGGATAGACTCTTTTCGTCGTACTGATAAATACTATATTATCTATATAAAGACTACCACTTCTCAGTATACCGAAATTTCTAATTCTAAATAGGATCAGATTATAATTAGAGCAGTATTAACCCAAAGTTCTTCGCAGATGGGCAATCACGATCAGCGTCGCGTGGGCAGTCGGTATGGAGAGGATCGGATCGATCTTATGAATATGCTGCAAATGTTCTTGCCCGGCGTGAGCATTACGTACCAGGGCGAGGAGCTGGGCATGACGGACGGCTATATTAGCTGGGAGGATACACGCGATCCGGCCGCCTGCAACTCGAACGAGACCATTTACCAGCAGTTCACTCGCGATCCGGCCAGAACGCCGATGCAATGGAGCAGCGAGGCGAACGCCGGCTTCTCCACCAACAGCTCCACCTGGTTGCCCATCAATCCCAACTATGTGACGGTGAATGTGGCGGCAGAGACGGCCGCCGACACCAGCCACCTCAAACTGTACAAGCAGCTGGTGGATCTGCGCAAGTCCAAGACGCTGCAGTACGGCACCACACGCTACGCGGCCATCAATGAGAACGTGGTGGCCATCAAGAGGGCGCTGAGTGGTCAGCCCACCTATGTGCTGGTGGCCAATGTGCTGAATAGCCACGTTTGCGGAGTGGATGTGGCCAGTGAGCTGTACTCCTCCGGCAGCTACAAGATCAAGCTGCTCAATCCGCAGGCCAAGGCGGCCGTGGGGTAAGCCCATTCGCCAATCAATTGCTCAAATTAATATTTCGAATTTTCTATTTTATTTGATTAATTTATTTTATTTTTTATTTTTTGCAGCGACAGCGTCGCGTTGAACAACCTCAGTATGCCGCCATATGCGGCGCTGATTGTGGAATCCGTGTAGATGGCCTTGTCATAAGTCATCAAGCACAGATATATAGATGTATATATATATATAGAATAAATATGTATGCCTGTGTGCGCGTACGTAAAAGTCATTGGGAAAACTTTTCAATTTGAGGTCGCAGGATCTGGCAACTTATTATAAATTATTAGGGAACTTTGTCTGCCTCAAGTATGTGCCTGCCCCCTGCTCCCGTACCTGCCTCTGCCCCCATCCCTGCGCCTGCTCCAACTCCAGCTCAACAAAAATATAAAAAAAGAAAGAAATTCCATTAGGCGTGATTGATAAGACACACAAATCACGCATACGCAGCGTTGCAGCAGCAGACATCCGAGCAGCTCGAGCTGCGGTTGATGCTTGGCTTGACTTTTGCTACCTGGCCCTCGTTCTGCCCAAAGCTAGACACGACTAGCATGGCAAGCATGGCGTCGACTGGGGTTAGCTTTTTAATTTACTTGTCGACCAAGAAAAAAAAAAATTATATACATATAAAATGGGAGCGAGAGTGAAGTGAAATTATGAGTTTTCAGCTTGGGGCGATTCTCCTCATAATGTGCTTCAAATTTATGTGTATTTCTCTCTCAACCGCAAAACATCAAAAACACACGCCCTCAACTGTAACTCGAAGCTCTAAGCCACACATTAAACAGGAACAGAGCAGAGACCAGGTGAAATTCGAAATTTTGCTACAGTGTTTTATTTAATTATATATATATATATTTTTTTTTTTAGAAAAATGTCTACGTTGAGATTTAAAAATGTTGTGCGAAAATATATCTAATTAAACAAGTTGCCAGAGAATTAAAAAGTTTAATTTAAATTTCGGTAAACAACTAGGGGAATTTTAGAACATTTTATAATTGTGGTAAAAGTCTGTTGAAAAATTGACAACAGCTTTGGCAGCCTTTTATAAATACTTCAGTTATGCAAATAAAAAAATAAATAAATAAATAAATAAAATAAAATAAAATAAAAAATTAAAATTAAAAAAAAAATAAAAATAAACTAAATTAAATAAATAAATAAATAAAAATAAATAATAATAATATTAATTAAAGAAAAAAAAAAATACATTTCCCATAGAGCGCTTTGGTAAGATGATACTTTTATTTTATTATTTTTGTTTTGTTTCAGAACTTATATTATTATATAGTTAAACAATTGATGCAACATATTAAAAAAAAATATATATATATATATATATATTTTTTTTTTTTTTTTAATATGTTGCATCAATGTATATATTTATATATATATATGTAACACATAATTTTATAAATATAAAAGACTCTTAGGATCTATAATATATATAAATATTTCATTATTATACCAATATGTTTTTGTTTTTTTTTTTTTTTTATTATTAATATTATTTTATTCGAATTATAATTATTTTAAGAAAGTGAACGTCTTGTAAAGTTTATTGTTTTTTTCATGCCATATTTGGAAATGTTAAACAGAGAGAGGTTTACCAAAAATTAATGGCAGTATACCATTCTCTGCCCTAACGACAAATCTCATTGAACTAATGGAAAATTAAAAAAATTATCAAAATGCATAGCTCTCAAAAATATACAAGGCACACATCTGTGTAAATAAATATATGTATATGTATATATAAAAGAAGATAAGTTCAGCAGCCTTGATCGCTGCACATTGTGTTTCACTGTGGACATCGGTAAATTAGCAGTCTGTGGCAAAGCGGCTTACAAAATCGTGTAAATGTCGGCGTGAGTCGCCAACCCATTAAAAGGGTCGCAGACACAATCTGAACCAAAGACGGAGGCACTTTACTCTCGGCTACGTGACCTGAAACCAAAAAAACTAAAAAAAAAAAAAGGAAAATAAACAAAAAGAAGAAAAAGCCCAGCAACAAATCATATGAAAATCACAGCCAGCGCCACCTGGCGGTGGTGGCGAGCATTGAACGGGCATGTATTTTTTTTATATTGGGCGCCCTTTTGTATGCATTTCAGTTTGTGCAGATAATGAAGTTCATTTAGCACACGGCGAGGGTGCTTAAAAAATCAACGCATTACGCATTAGCTTTAACATGCTTTTCCAACGGTTTATGGTGTGGGCAGGGCCGGGTCGAAAACTTTTAGCTCATCCTCAGCTTTGGGCGGGGGAAAAACTTTGAAATGCATTAAGTTTGTAATCTGTAGTAATTTTGTGGGCGGGCACATTACACTCAATGTATTCGGGCTACAACGGCGTTTGCATATTAATTTCGGCTGGCGCCCGGGGCGTATGCGTAATATTTGAATGCGTCTCACCTATGTTTGGCTTTTCTAATTTTCTGGCTATTCTAGCCGAGCTCCTCTTGCCGTTGCTGTTATTATTATTTAGTTGTTAACGAGACTCTGCTATCTGATTCGCTCTTATGCCAGGCACGTAGCAGTTCGGTCAGGTTATTTGCGGAAGCTTCTTTAACCTTTCGTTGAATCTCGTGTATTTGAATTTATGGAGCTTAAAGACGTGTGCAAAAGACTTACAAATGCTTATGAAGCTTAGAGCATATGAAAGTAGTTTTAACTCTGAGCCAGCCCGAGCGTGATGTGGGTTAAATAGTATTTTAAATGCAGCCGGGCTATCCCTAATGAATGACCGAAAATATCAGACATTTTTTGTGCGTTTTTCTCACCTTTGGATTAGCTCGCTGTGCACTCAAGCGCAACAATCAGTCAACTCAACAGTCCCACAATCTAATTGCACTACAACACAAACCGGGCTCATAACGGTGCCAAAGGGTTCAGTCGCATTGGCTAATTTGCACGCTTCGCACGTAGCCATCGTCAAAACGTTGCCACTTAATGCCAACTAAAAAGCCGTGAGCCGAGGATAAATGGAATTAAGCCGGGGGTTACGGCAATTTAAAGTGCAGCCGGCAGAGCTGGACAATTGGGTTAATTAAGGCAATTAATTCGTTATTAAATTTAAAACTTAAATTGGTTATGGAATATAAGATTTCATTCAATTGCAGCGGTGGACGATGAACTAAGTAAACTTAATTGATATTAAGTTTCTTTGGGTGGGCTTAAATTTGTAAAAATTGTGTTAAATATGCATAAAATTTAAGACACTGAAAGAATTAAATTACAAATTTAGTATTTTAATCTTATATGCATTTTGATTTTAAATTGATTACATTTTTATTGGTTATTTATTTATTTTTATTTTTTAACGTAGTTTATAAGACTATAATAAAAATTAAAATTTTATTGTATTTTATACTGGTAAATTTAATTTAATTAATTTATGTTTATTAAAATTTTAAAATTTAATTTTTGTTAATTTCTTTGAGACATATTTGTTTATATTTTTGGAATTTTTTGAAATTATTTTTTATTATTATTATTATATTATTATTATTATTATTATTATTTTTTTTTTTTATGACAGTTTTGTTTAAAAAAATAATGGTAATAATAACAAGAATTCTATAAGGAGCCTAAAATAGTGCTGAAATAAATTTAAATATAATTTAATTTGCACTTTGCAAAAAAATTCATTGCACAAATAAAAAAGATATATCAATTTAATATAGAATATAATTCTAACGTCATTTCAGTCAAACGAAAAATTGTTCAAATTAATTAAATGAATAAATCTTGGTAGCAAACAGCGTAAATGTTTGCACACTCTCGTCCACAAATCCCTAAAGTCTTTTGTTTACCTTAATTTCTTAATTAAACTAAATACAGTAGACATTTCTCTTCACTCTAACATCTGCTTCAACTATCGAGTAGCTGCTACACATTTATCAAGCAGCAGCTGCTGCTTAGTTGGCAATTGTTATTGTTTGCTAGTGCATTGCTGAAGCCAGCGCTTCGAAGTCAGCCTGCAAATCTGGCAAGCAAATGCGAACAGGTGTCTCAGCCAGATACGTGTTAATGACCCACTCGAGTGAGAGGCGAGAAGGCAACAACTGTCTCAGCTGGGCTGAGTGCTCACCAAAATTGTCAGCCAACTATTGTGAGGGAGCATCCTCAGCAAGGCTAGCCTCAGCATTATATTTAGACATGCTCACGTGGGCCAGCACGTCATTTGCTTTGCATGGCTGGCATCTACAAATTAACATGTGTAAACGCAATTTAATTATGTTTAGCATAATTGAAATTTCACTTTTGGAAACGAAACACGTGCAAGCCTGAAATACCGAGGGTTAGTTGGTAAAGTTTATAAGGAAGGGATATAAATATTTTGCAAACATTTTTATTCATTCATGAGAACGCTAACTTAAAAAAAAAAAAAAAAAAAAAAAAAAAAAAAAAAAACCACTTTCCCTTTACGACAAATTCAATGAGTAGGTATTTTTCTAATATTTTCATCAAATAAGCTCCCATTAGTTAAAAAACATCTTTAAAGCTTTATATAGCAGAAAAGCCTTAGTTTAAGTCATTTAATTTTTGCTTTACATGACTTAAACTTGCATTTTTTATTTTAATATATTACATTTATATTTTTATGTACATGTATATATTTCCACTGATTTCCTTGTTTTATATTCATATAAAATTTGGCAATAATTTAATGTAATTAACTTTTTCAAACTTCATATAAAATACTTCCCCCAATTTCCATGCTTCATTATCAGCACAACCCCAGCCTATAACATTATGTTCTGCCACATGCCTATAATATTGTTATTCTGCCACATGGAATCCGCTTAGCAAAGCTTACAATCAGCCCTCGCTGCATGCCATGAGAACTTCAAAGGTGGCCCGGACCTCGTCATTTCAGTGGATCCAGGGCCCACTTGTCGACGTATTAACTTTGTGTAACGCATACTTTGCCTTTCGGTTGATGTAGAGCCTTTTAAACAAGCAAAAAAAAAAGAACCGAGAGTAAAAAAAAAAAAAAAAAACAAAAACAAGAGCAACGGCAAAAATATAAAGTCAAATGCCAGACGCTTTACGGCTTGACTTTAATTTGTGTGTAAACACTTTAAACAGCGACCCCCGCGCTTTTGCAGGAAATTACATGAGTGACTCGAGCACTTGAGCCTATCTGAAAAATTTATATAAGTGTGTGCGTGTGTGTGTGTGTGAGCATGCTATTAAGTGTGGTGTATGTGTGCGTGTGTGTGTGTGGTTTGTTTGTCGATTTATTTGCTTATTTATTTATACAAGTAGCGGCATATTTGCTTTGCAGCCATAAGAATACCAAGAAGACGAAAAGCTGTCGAAAGTTTTTCAAGTGTGCGAATGTAAAATTTAATTGGTTAGGCTTAAAAATATATACCTATATATATATGCCAAAAGTTGAAGAACTTTGTTGCGCTTAATCGGTGCTCATTACCAGCGCCTCCCCAGCGGCCAGACTGAGGCCTTTCGTCTCAAACAGAGAACTAAAATGAGAAACGAAATGTTAATAAAAGTATGTTAACTGCTTAACCAGGCCGTCGACTTACCCCTCTGCCTTGGTGGAGCTAATGCTGCGTATTTTCAGGGTCAAATGCGTTGGCAAGGTCTGGTCAAACTGGTCAAGATCGACGGTGATGCCCTTACTGCCCAAATTGGCCACAAAAACGATGCTGGGCGAGCCCGACAGGGAGCTATGTGAGGGTAGAGAATAAAATTAATGTAAATAAGATAAAAATCTGACCTATTGAAGCAAAAACAGCCAAGAAATCATTGCAAAAGTTTCAATTAAATTAAAGCCTAGAACTAGCTGCCTGTTACCCTGTAAAAATTACTTTTTCAGAGTAATAGAAATTTGATTGATGACTGAAGCTGCCATAATTCAACTGCATCTCAAGTATTTAATGATGCAATCAAGTAAAAATTTAGAGCTACCAGACTGATATATTATTTTTCTCGATTAATAAACTATAAAATCAATTTGATTTCATGCCAAAATTATAATTTATCTGCAATTATTCTATCTATTTATTTTTAGTATCCTCAAAAACTAAATTCGCAATGAAAGTCTTTTGGCTGGAAGAGTTTTCTACATTAGATCAACCAAAGAAATTTCTTGATTTATGAGATTTATAAAAACATAACTCTTACACACATAAATATTTTTTCTTTAGATAAAGATAGGGAAAAAAATTAATATGATTGCAAACTGAAAATATCATTAATATATCAGCAATTAATTTATCTATCTTCAGTATCATCCAAACCAAAATTAACAAGGATAGTCTATTCATTTGATGAATATTCTACATTAGTTAAATCAATCAAAGCAAAATCTAGAACTTTTAATTTCTATAAGAAACTCTAAATATTTTCCATCAGATTAATAAAAGAAAATGAAATAATTTTGACTGCAAACTGAATCGTAATATAACTATCTATTGGCTTAAGGAATTTTCTCAGTTAGTTTCCATATCTTGACACACTTTCCACTCACCGCTTGACCACAAACGCGTTCTCATTAAGTACTGCATATTTGGTAGATCCATTTTGCAGGGTCTTCGAGCTCTTACGCAAGGCGACCAACGATTTGTAGATCTTGAGATGGGAGCGCGTGGCTGCTGTTTCGACCTCCACATTTTGGGTCTCGTAGTCCTCGGCAAGGGGCAGCCACGTCTTGGGGCCCGTGGAGAAGCCCGCATTGGTGCCGCTCGTCCAGTGGAAAGGAGTACGCGAAGGATCCCGAGTGAACTGTTCGTAGCTGTCTTTGTCGGAGTTGCATGCAGCCGGATCTTGGGTGTCATCCCAGCTAATCCAACCGTCTGTCATGCCCAGCTCCTCGCCCTGGTAGGTGACACTCGCACCAGGCAGAATCATGACCAGCATGTTCATGGCGTCCGTGTTGCCGGCGCCATAGCGACTGGCCGCGCGGCGCTGATCGTGATTGCCAATCACCCAGTTGGGTGTGCGTCCGGCGGGCATTAACAGTAGCCAATTGTCCACGGCCTTCTTGATGGAGCTCGCCGAAACGCCGTCACTCGCCGGCACCGTAATCAGGTTGAAGTTGAAGGGCAGATGGGCACCCTCCACGGATCGATTGCCATAGAACTGCATCGTGTAGGCGGGCGGAGCGTAGGTCTCAATCAGAAGCACCCGCGTGTCTCCGCCGTAAATGCGTTGGTGATCGTCCATCACCGTGCGCCACTGATAGGCCATGTCGATTGTCTCGGGTCTGTTCTCGATTAGCTCATTCTTCAGATAGTTGCGATTATCCTTGTCATCCGTCAGCCCACTCACTGCCTCGTCCGGATACTGGCCATTCTCGTCGACCTCTACCTCGAAGAGCACTGGCACCGCGTCGCACCTGAAGCCAGCGACGCCCTCATGCAGCCAGTAGCGCAGCACGCGCTTCATCTGCTCCACCACATCCGGATTGCGATAGTTGAGATCCGCCTGCTGCACGGCAAACTGATGCAGATAGTACTGCTGGCGCTCCTCCACCCACTCCCAGGCACTGCCTCTGAATGCCTGCAGCCAGTTGGAGGGAGGCTCCCGCTTGCCAGTGTCCGCATTAATTTTCCCGTCGTGCCACACGTAGTAGTCCTCGTAGCCCTTCTCCCGCTTCACGGACTTCTTGAACCACTCGTTCTCATCGCTGGAGTGATTGGGCACAAAGTCCAGGATGATTTTCAGATCCAGCTCTTTGGCTTTCTTAATTAGGGCACGAAAGTCTTCCATTGTGCCGTACTCTGGCTGTATGTCAAAGAAGTCGGAGATGTCGTAGCCAAAGTCCACCATGGGAGACTTGAAAATGGGCGACAGCCAGGCAGCTGTCACGCCCAGATCCTTCAGGTAGTCCAGCTTGCTCGTGATGCCATTGAGATCACCGATGCCGTCGCCATCCGAGTCCATGAAGGAGCGCGGATAGATCTGATAGAACTGCGCCGTTTCCCACCAATCCTTGGTCGTGCTCTCCGTCGTTGTCGCGTCCTCACATGCCTGCCCAAGGGCCAGCAGGCAGAGAGTTGGAATTAGTACTTGCCAAGGCCTCATCGTAATTAGCAGAGTCGGGCCACAGCTTTAGTTTTTATACCAACAGCCAGCTACTAGCTCACGCTGGCCATCTCAACTTGGCTTAAATGATAAGCGCACCTCAAGTAGCTGAGCCATTTGCCAAGCACTTGAGCGAATAACAGTGCTCAGTGCTGAGTGCTGAGTGGAGGTAGCTGTAGCTGTGGCTCAAGTGGGTTCAAGTCAAAACCGAATCGAAGGTACTCTACTGATGTATTTTTTGGTGGAATATTTTAAATATTTTTAAACTAAAGTGCTACTAAATAAGCAATACTAGGTATTTAACATACAATTTTAATATATATTTACATAAATATAAAAAATAAAAAAATCAATAAATTTAATATTAGATTTTAAATTAAAAAAATTGTTTTTTCAGAAGCAAAAGACTCGCCTAATAATGAGTTTATAAATTAAGAAAAATAATAAATATATAACATACAATAATATTTAAACCTAAAAATAAATATATATAAATAAATAAATAAAAAATGAAATATATAAATAAAAAATAATTGTTTTGTTGATAGTTTTCAAATATAAAATAAATTAAAAAATTTAAATATAACAAAAATTATTTAGTCGCAAAAAAATTATTTATAATTTTAAATTATAAAAATATATTTTAAATTTAATAATTATTGTTGAATAATATATATAAATTGCATTCAAAATATATTTAATTTACTTGTTTGTATTTTTTTTTTTTTTTTTTTTTTTTTAATAATAATAAATAAATACAAATAATATTAATATTAAACGTAATATTTGTCACTATCAACCTCTTATATTTTATTTCTACCCAGTTAGCAACATTTTCTGCTCTCTACAAATTTTATTATTTTTACTTCAACTCAGTTACAAATTCATTATACCAGCAGCAATGCCGTATATGAACTTGGCTAATCGACAATCGGTTGGAAATTTCCACGAAACTAATCAAAATTACCTAACTTCCCTCTCGTAGCCTATATAAGGCAGTGACGCTGTCTATTCAGCTGCACGAAATGATTTTGATTACAAAGAACGCATTTGCTGCAGCGCTGAGTCTCCTCGTCCTCGTTGACCTTGGAGGGGAGGCGTGCAAGGATAAGACAACGACGGAGCGCACCAAGGATTGGTGGGAAACGGCGCAGTTCTATCAGATCTATCCGCGCTCCTTTATGGACTCGGATGGCGACGGCATTGGTGATCTGAATGGCATCGCGAGCAAGCTGGAGTACCTCAAGGATCTGGGCGTGACAGCTGCCTGGCTGTCGCCCATTTTCAAGTCCCCCATGCACAGTGGTTTTTTTTAAGTTTTTTTTTGGCATAAAGTCAATTTTTTTTTTTTAGGTATTTCAGAATTTTGTTAATTTTTATTTTTTAAACATTCTAGTTAGACAAAAAAATATTTAACTTTAACATTTGACGCAATATTTTTCTGTTAGAGCGCTGTTAAAGTCAGCTGTTTATATACCATATGTTTTGTAGGAAATTGGCGGCAAAAGTTTGGCAACTTTAATTGTTTGTTTTGGCGAAAGTTTACACAAAAGTGAAAAGATTTAATATGGAAAACGGTTGTCCAGGTATTGAAAACAATAGTTTATTTATAATTGTATCGTTTTTATGTGTTTCTGTTTAGTTGTACCGTGTTTTGTAAATGTGTATTTTCAGAATGAACTTAACAAGCGTAGTTGTGTTTCGTGGATCAGTACTTTTGTATGGCAAAGCGTTGCAAAAGGTTTTATATGCAGAGTTATTAACAAATTTGTACAGATTAATATGAAACTAATCTTTTTTGTCCGAATCCACACGTTTTCGATCAAATTTAATTTTTCTAGTACAATATGAGTTTAGTCGTGCTAATCTGGTTGACATTTGGAGCAAAAACAATCGCTCAGTCGACGCAGTACAACAACATATATTGGCAAATATTGCAGAAAAACACTTAGATGAGGAGAACATAAGCTTAATAAATCAAAAAGTTAAAGGCTTTGTAAATTACATTCGTAAGCACCTGCCGAAGTGTAATTCAACTCTTGAAAGATTTAAGATAAAACACTCGGAATGGCTTGGCAAAAGCTTATTCATTGACATCACTGGTCAATATGCCTTAACAAATAAAATGGGTCGCCCAAAATGTGATTACGAAAGCGCTGGTCCACGTCTAAAAAGAAAATTAGCCACCGAAATTTCTAAAGAGAATAACAATTCATCTCCCTTACTCATACATGCAGCCACAGTTTCAGCTAAAAAATCAAATGAAAAGAATTTGGCTATTGTTTTAAAAGCAGCTGGGAATTGTGAGAGTATTGATGATATAAAAAAAAAAACTTTTTACGGATGAACCAAAACAAATGTCACCCGACTGTGCTCTTGCTTTTATATTGGAAAACGGATTCACAAAAAGCCAGTACATAAGTATCCAAAGAAATTCAAAGATTTACGGTTGTGATATATACCCGGCATATCCAAATAATAGATACATGTTTAGTTCCTGTAGGCTGCCTTGGGGAACATGCATCTGAATCAAGAAATAAACTATACAAAAGCGATAGAAGAGGCCACGCAAGAAAATGCAGTCGACTAGACAACATCACTGATGTTTTTAATAGATCAATGGATAGTTCGGATCCATTGCTGTCTAGCACCTTTTTTAAAAAAGGATCGCAGCGAATCAAGTTAAAAGTAATACCAGCAGAAGTGATATCCCTACTACAAGAACCACTTATAGAAATACCTTCGGAAAATAATGAAGTGGATTCGTCAGACGAGGAAGATGAAGGTGAACTTGAGGTCATTGCTTCAGAAGATGAATATTTTGAGCTAGAATAAAGTAAAAATTTGTTAAATTGATCTATTCTTTTAAATATATTTACTTAAATTTCATTTCTTTATAATTATTTTTTTCTTTTTTAAAATAAAAAATAAAAAAAAGTATTTTATGCAACATTCACCAATATCGGCCAGATCGGTTATATGGCAGCTATATGAAATAATGCCCCAAATCATATAAAACTTGGTAGGTCATCTAAGGAGCGTAAAATATTCATACAATCCAAATTTCAATGTAATAGCTTTCAATTTAGAGTTTATGCCAAAAAAAACTTTAAAAAAACCACTGTGCCATGGTGGACTTTGGCTACGACATCTCCGACTTCTTCGACATACAGCCGGAGTACGGCACAATGGAAGACTTTCGTGCCCTAATTAAGAAAGCCAAAGAGCTGGATCTGAAAATCATCCTGGACTTTGTGCCCAATCACTCCAGCGATGAGAACGAGTGGTTCAAGAAGTCCGTGAAGCGGGAGAAGGGCTACGAGGACTACTACGTGTGGCACGACGGGAAAATTAATACGGACACTGGTAAGCGGGAGCCACCCACTAACTGGCTGCAGTACTTCCGGGGCAGTGCCTGGCAGTGGAACGAGGAGCGCCAGCAGTACTACCTGCATCAGTTCGCCGTGCAGCAGCCGGATCTGAACTATCGCAATCCGGATGTGGTGGAGCAGATGAAGCGCGTGCTGCGCTACTGGCTGAACGAGGGCGTCGCTGGCTTCCGGTGCGATGCGCTGCCGCCGCTCTTCGAGGTGCTGCCGGATGCGGAGGGTCAGTTTCCCGACGAGCAGTTGTCTGGGGCTACGCAGGATGCGGAAGATCGTGACTACCTGACGACGGCGTACATTGAGAACCAGCCGGAGACCATCGACATGGTGTACCAGTGGCGCCAGGTGCTCGATGACCATCAGCGCATCCATGGCGGCAGCTCGAGTGTGCTGCTCATTGAGACCTACTCGCCGGCCTGGTTCACCATGCAGTTCTATGGCAACCGATCCGTGGAGGGTGCCCATCTGCCCTTCAACTTCAACCTGATAACCGTGATGGAGCAGAGCCCCTTGAGTGGGGCCAATGTGCAGAAGGCCATTGACCTCTGGCTGAACAACATGCCAGCCGGGCGCACAGCCAACTGGGTGGTAGGTAGCTTCAGCTATACTGAAACCCCAGCCAATTACTGATACTCCCCATTTAGCTGGGCAATCACGACAAGCGCCGGGCGGCCAGTCGCTATGGAGAGCAGCACATCGATGCCATGAATATGCTGATCATGATGCTGCCCGGCGCCAGTGTGACCTACCAGGGCGAGGAGCTGGGCATGACAGACGCCCAGATTAGCTGGGTGGACACTGTGGATCCCTGGGCCTGCAACTCGAATCCCGATATATATGAGAAATACACCAGAGATCCCGCACGCACGCCATTCCACTGGACAAGCGGCAGCAACGCTGGCTTCTCCACGGCCGCCCAGACCTGGCTGCCCCTGGCTGCCGACTACGTGACGATCAACGTGGCCACCGAGTCCGCGGCGCAACGTTCCCATTTGCATATCTACAAGGCGCTGATCGAGCTGCGCAAATCACTGAAAACTCTGCAAAATGGCGCGACTAAATATCAGGCGCTAATTGAGGATGTTTTCGTGCTGAAGAGGTGGGCGCCCTTAGATTTCTCCTTTATGGTTGGGTACGGAATGAGATGTTAATTATTCTTTTTTTTTTCTCTCGAGGGGTAAGCCTAGGCCTATATAACATACTTACTCACAGCTAATATCTACTCACCCTCTCTCTCTCTCTCTCTCTCTCTCTCTCTCTCTTTCTCACACAGCGCCAGCCTAGCCACACACGAGCTCAACTTGTTGCCCGGCGAGGCTTTGGTCATGACTACAAAATAAATAAATCGCAATTACTAGAATTAGTTAGTATTTTTTATTGATCGAATTTTTGTTGTTCAATGCTTTTGTAAGTTCTCGTAAATATATATGCCACCCAACAACATTTATCTGTGTATACTATAGATGTATATACGTTAATAAATACTTGAATTTGCGGAGACATTCAGTTAAGTAGGTATAAATATGGCTTATATTTTCATATGCGTTTCGTTTTGTTATTATTTGTTGGTATTTAATTGGTAACTTATTTACATTTAATACACACAGAATAGTTAATACACATGCAATTTGCTAACAATTAAACTCTTTGAATTTGGCTAGACTTGTTTTTATAGTTATACATATACATATATATATAATATTTATATTAATTTGTTTACTAATTTTAGTTGCGTGTTTTGTTCTTATCACCTCATTAAATACGACCTTACAATAAGTACTTTATTTTTATTTTATATTACTCTTTTTTTTTATGTAGCCAACACGAATACACAAAGAACCACGTAATGCTATATATATTTACGTTTACATATATACAACTCACTTATAATTAATCGCCGACCCTTGACGCCTTTTCATCCAAATAACAATTAAATTTACCATGTTGCTGGGCTCGAAACAGCACAGTAAATGCAATTGTTATGCCGCCGCCGCCGCGAGTCATTGCTGCCACACGTTGCAAGGGGGTTGCGCATGTATGCATGTGTGTATGTATGCATGCAACCCCCTCGCAACATAATCACAGCAAAGCAAAGAGCTCCACACCACAGCTTAGCCTAAACGTTAGCAGTATGAGATTAGTTTTGCTTTTGGGGCTTAGAAAACACACACATTTTTGAAATTATATCACAATTTTTGTTTTTTTGGTAAGCGCTGCTGCGACTGCAGCCAAACCACGCATGATCCTTATATGTATATACATATGTATAAATATCTGTATTAACTAGTTAGTTAAGCTTAATGATAAAACATTTAAAACGTTTCGCAATTATACATACAATTAAATGTGGCTGACAATTATTTTGACCATTTCGTTGGGCTTATTGTAAGAGTTTGTTGCAAATTAATTTTACTTTTTTTTCTTTTTGTTCCTATTTTAGTTTATGAACTATAGATTTTTTACAATACTTGCTTCAAGTGGCGAAAGTGAGAAGGCAGAGAGGTTGACTTTGAATAATATATATTATTTTATATTATTATTATAACGAAATAATAAAGTAATTTGGAAATATATGAAAAAAATAAATAAATAAATAAAAACAGAAAAAGGCAGAAAATGCTAAGTATGTGAAGAAATTATAAAACGGTTTGATTATATTACATTATTATAAAATTAATTTTAAATTCATAAAAATTTTTAATTTTAACGTATTTAAAAAAATAAATTACTTTTTAAAATGAATTTTTTTGTTGTATGTAAAATAATATATAATAAAGATATTTTTTAATAAGTAATTTGTATTAATAAACTAAATATTTATAAATAATAGTTACCATTAAATAAAATTCAATATATATATTATATTTGCATGAATTATTTAAATATTATTTATTTTATTATTATACGTTTTTGTTTTTAAATTATTTTGAAACATTTTAATATAATTTATAAAAGATTAAAGTATAGTAACTAAATATAAGTTTATTCATGAATTTTTTTTATTTTTGCATTTAATTTAAAGTTTATTAATAAAAACCGAAACGTAATTCGCACATGAAAACAATTTATATTACATTAATATGAAAATAAAATAAAATGAATACAAAATTAATTTTATTTGAAATGGAGACTCAAGTTTAAGACTTTAGGGGCATAGCCAAATATTAGAAAAAAAAAAAAAAAAAAAAAAAAAAAAGAATTGAGCCAAATATTTCCATATTTGATGTGCATCCGTGGCGTAAAATATGTATGCTTTAAAAGCAGTACATATATTTTTAAAGTAAAACATGTATATTAAAATGATGCATTATTTAAAATTTTTTCTATTTAGAGCTGTGCTTAAACTATAAAATAAAAATAAATAAATATTTCTAATACAATTGCTTTGACAGCAAATAAATAGAACCAAAATTATTAGCGCTTCATATTTTATATTTTTTTTTACATTTAACGCCCGAAAAAATTAACTAATTAACATTCATTGAACATATTAACGCAACAATTAATTTCCCTGTCTTGAGAGCACAGTCTGTGCGCATCTTGCATTACATCATCATTATTATTATTATTATTATATGTATACCTTCCACATACATACTCATTCATATTATTATACCTTCTGCACGTTTGTTGTTTCATTTGTATTTAGACCTTTTAGATCTAGTTTCTTTTGTATTTATACCTTCCACATTCTCGCTTCATTTGTATTCGCTTATTTGTTCTTGATCTTATTTTTCAATTTGTATTCATAATTTGTTGATCTTATTTTTCAATTTGTGTATTCATAATTTGTTGATCTTATTTTTCAATAATCTGTTACGCTTGTAGTCGTCTGACGGTATCATCACGTTCAAGTGTCTATACTGGGATCGCAGCACGTTTCTTGCTGTTGGCGTTTCCAATCGTGGTTGTGGCACTTCCGCTGCCGCTGCCAATGCTAGCAACATCGCTGCTTTCACTGGTCGCCAGTTGCGGCTGATCCGGCTGCTGCTGCTGCTGTTGCTGCTGCTGCTGCTGTTGGCGCTGCTGCTCCTTTAGCAGTTGCTGTTGCAATTGCTGTGCGTTTAGCTATAAGTTGGTCTGCAGCACGGGCGCTCGTCTGCTGCCATTGGACGCAGCTTCCATTGTGGCTGTCGCATCCGAGGCGCCCATAGCAATTGTTGCTGTTGTTGTCATTGCTGCTGCTGGTATTGCTGGTGATTCTGCTGCTGCTGTCGCTGCTGCAGTTGTTGTTATTGCCGTTGCTGTTGCCGTTGCAATTGCTGTCGCCACTGGACTAGTGTTGGCAACAATTGCATTCGGCTGGCCGTGCTGTTGCTGATTGATTTTGTTGTTGTTGGCCACGACTTGCTCGTCGTTTGCATTAATGCCATTGATATTCCCATTGCCATGGTCATTGCCATTGGCAGTGGGCGTGTCCGTATTTGTTGGCACATATTGATCCGCATACGGTATTTGATTGTAGGCATTGCAGTCCAAGGATGCAAATATGCTAGACAAGGCAATTGTTTGTGTGGCCATTTCGCACAGCTTCTTGGCCTTAATTGAGTGCTCTGCAATACAGATTGCCAAAGAGATGTTTGTATGTGTGTGTGCATGCGTGCAAGTGTGTGTGTGTGCGTGTGTGCAATGGCTGCCTCAGCCTTAGAGCTTACTCACCTGTCTCCGTGGGCGTGATATGTTTCTGTATCTTCTCCTCCTGTGCACAGGTGGCCGCCGTCACGACTGCCGCGGCCATCATCGAGGATGGCCCAGTGCCGGCTGTGCGGTGCATGTTGCCATATCGCGGCGGCATCATGCTCTGGCGCACATTTCGCTCCGGTCGAATCAGAATTATGTAGAGCTTTAAGAGACAGAGCGCGGTGTAGAGATTCGTCAGGTTGTTAGATTTTTAAATTTGTCATGTTGGTAGATGTAGTTAGATTCGTCAGGTAGCCGGAGAGGTCAGTTCGGGACAAGATGGTTGAACGGGCAAGGGAATAGCACTTTAGAGTTAGGAATTTCGCTTAATGAGGTTGGCAGATGGAATAGCCAAATTTGGATATTTGATCAGAAAGAACGAAATCTAGACCGAGACATCGCGAATCAGGCACGTTACAGAGATTGCCAAGTTGTAGCGAGACTATAGGGCAAAAATTTAAAAACAAAAAACAAAAAAACAAAAAAAACAACAACAAAAACAATTTGAAAATATTTTAAAAGAAAAAAAATAAAAAAAAAATAAACTTTTGTGTTTAATGTGTGATTGATTTGTTGTGCATGACTGTATGCTGTGAACTGAGGAAACTAGGAAGTGGGAGCTCTATTTATAGGGAGAGAGAGTAACTGAGCTAAGCCAACTACGATTGAAAAATTCTAAGCCGAAACCCAGTCAAAACAAGTAACAGTCAGAGCCTACTGAAGAACCAAAAATGAGTATATTATATAGTGATAGCACGATTAATAATATCATAGACAGCAATCGATTATTTTGTAAAGTAGGTATATTATATAGTGATGGCACGATTAAATATATCATACACAATAATCGAATAGTTTGCTTCCATTAGCGATTTAATTGTGTTGTAAATGTTTGCGATTAAGCGTTCATTCCTAAAATCTAAGACTGAAGACTGAACTACTTCGGAAAAGCGCAAAAAAGCCACCGCGCATATTTCGAAGTTACTATTTCATATTTCTTATAGACTTTATAAATAAATAATAGCATATATTTTTTGAGATTTAATCAATTTGCTTGCAATACAATATAATAAAATAATAATAACAATAATAATTATCATTTGATTAATGATTGATAGTTTATATATAAATGTAGCAAAATTTCTTTAAAAAACAATATATATACAGATAGATAGAGTACGATACGATTTTTTGCTCTAATGAGTGTGGCTATATTATTTTAGGCTAGTTTTTAGTGCATAGAGAGAGAGGGAGAGAGCCGGAGTAGTAACTGTGTATTTATCAAAAAGGCACGCCTCCAAAGAGGCGCTAATTTCCATCTTAGGTCATCGCTAATGCAGACCTAGTGCAATACAATCATAAGGCCTTAAATATTTTAATCTTTTATATAAAATATTCATAAAGATTATTTTCTGCAAATATTTTTCGATTTGCTACGATCCTAGTAGGCAAATCAAACAAATCAAATCTTGACTGAGGGCACAAAAAAAAAATATATATATAAAATATAGTCATAAAAATATTCAAGAAAAAAATATAAATAAAATAAAATAAATTGATAAATAATAATATATAAATTGTAATATTGTATTGTAATATTAAAAAGAGTGAAATAAATAAATTCCAAATTGAAAGTCTCCATTTGCAAGAGTGTCCCCTTAAGTTCAGCTAAATGGACATTGCGAATAACAGAAATACTAGAATCATTCCCGTGAATGAGTATGTAACCCGCCCACATACTACCTAGCTGGGCCACTCATTAATCATACGCCCCGTATTGTATTGTCTCTATTCTGAGTATCAGCGGCGATACGCCCTACGCCATTAGTAATATGCCGTGCAGTAGCGGCTGCGGTAATTATTAACACAGGCTACTGACTCGCTGAGGCGAGGGTCGACCATTCGCTCGCTCGCATTCGGTTATGCCCGCAACGAGACGACGTAACGTTGAGCTCTTGCGTTACGTAACGCGCTGCCGTTTCCGCCTTGGCGTGACATTGTTTGCCTGCCATTTGCTGCCGTTTATTATTATTGTTGTTGTTGTTGTTGTGCTGTTGTTGTTTGGGTTTTCTTTTTACCTCTGCAAACAAACAACGGAACTCGGCACAGGAAGACGACCAGCCGGACACGGCACCTGTGCAAAGAAATACGTATATAAGCCAGCCACTACGGCTCGCTGCCAAACGGTGTTCGGAAGTTGCTTACTAGGGCCGGGCTGGGCCACGCCCCCTTGGGGAGCAAGCAGTTAGACGTGGGTTCGGATCTAGTTTGTTTCCTTAGTTCAGTGATCCCAGTTGCTATTTGTTGTTGCTCGCCCGCCCATTGTAGTAGTTGGCAAAACAGCAAATACTAAATTGCATTTTTATGGCTTGAGGTGTTTATGGCAGTTAGGTGCGCGTGAATGTGTGCGCGCGCGTGTGTGTGAGTGTGTGGGTGGGTCTAAGTGTATGTCTGGAGCAAAGTGTGCATTATGCGACATCTGATAGCACTGCGGCTCTAACCAGGCCGAGCTGCCATTTGGTTGGCTAATAAGAGCAACTGCGCTTAGTATTTTTTGCCATTGTAGGACGAAAACATTTTGTGATAACTGGCTGGGACCAAAGGAGCTGTTACAACGTCTCCTTTATGCTGATAATCTACATGCTTGTGCGGCTTAAAGTAGTCTATTTATTTGCGCTTTTAGCCCAAGCAGCTGGCAGCTGCAGACCTCAATAGCTGCAACTGCTGCTTCGTTGGCAAAATACTTTCAAATATCCAAATAAATATGAGTAATTGCTGGAAAACTAACTCAAGTTCAGGTTAAGCCATGTGAAACTTGGGAGCTGCCTTCTAGCATCTGCATATGCGACTCGACTGCTCTGCCAAACAAATTGTTTATAAAGAACTCTAAAACCAAATTTATTGCACAAGGTCAGCAAGAGAAAATAAAATAAAATGTGGTAGATGTTTTCCAAAAGTTTCAGGTTCACTTTGCATTTCATGTCAAACTTTAAGATGTCAATTTAATGTTACAATTTTAACGCATTTCGCCGCTGGGCCAAGTATAAGTTGTAAATTCGGAAACTGGCCAAAGTAAGTTGTTGGAGAAGTTTTATGTGCGCACTGCAGCCAAGTAAGGCCAATGGGTGGGGGGAGGTGGCTGCCACCCCCACAGTGCTCCAACCTAATCCCTGCCATAAATTGCTCAAGATATTAAGCTTGACTTGCAGTTTGCCTCAACCTAATGGCTAATAATGAAGCATTATTAAAAACGTTATGGCCATGCACCGAGGGAGGGATCAGAGTTCATTGCTTGCACTTTTGCTTGTTGACATTTAAGACTACTTAATGTCTGTCCCGACTGTACGCTCCAATAATGCAACAACATGGGGCAGCTGACTGCGGGACTTAAAGCAGCCACGGAGCTCTAGCAGCGAATGGACAGTGTAAGCCAAAAGTATTCACACAATGCAATGTCTTTTAGCTTGATTCGTACTTATTCGTAATATTTAGTATATTATTAATTTTTATATTTTTTTTTAATATTTATTATTTTTTATTTTAATATTTATTGTTGATATATTTATAATTATGTTTAATATATTCCCTATAATAATTTTTTTTTTTTTTATATTTATTAATATTTCTTTAATATTTATTATTTGCTGATATATTTTATATTATTTATTATGATGTATTTATTATATATATATATTTTTTTTTATATTTATTATTTATTGATATATTTATTGTTATGCTTGATATATTTCCTTTATTTTAAAATATTAAATATGTATATGAAATTGGGAAATCAGTTACTGAAACATGATTTAAAATTGTTTTTTAATAAAAATGAAAATTTAGAAGAATCTGACATCAAAAAAAAAAAAATAAATAAATAAATAAATAAAAATAAATAAATAAATAAATAAATTTGAGAAATGTGGAATGGAATTTTTTATATTCACACATTAAAAATATATATAAGAAAATATGATCTAAAATTAAAATTTTTATTGGAGGATTTATAGTTGAACAGAAATATGAATTAAAATTTATCTTAAATCAATCTGAATTTGTGGGACAAAATTTATATATTTATTATATATCACATTTTTTCGTATGGATATAATCTATTGAATATTTATTATAAATATAAATTATAAAATATGACTAAAAATTGTTTTAATATGAGTGTGAAATTTTTAAACAATTTTAAATGAAATATAAATTAATGTTTTTGACAAATCAATTTCCATTATATAAAATATTATGTTCAAGAAGAAAAGGATAATGTGTCCTTTACTCTTAAATTAAAAAAATCTAAAACACAACACTTTACCATAAATTGAATAAAAATAAATAAATATAAAATATATATAATATAAAATAAATTATGAATAAAATATAAATAAATATAAAATAAATTAATAATTGCCCAACTTCTAATACCTAAATATCTAAAATTTATTTATTTACTCATTTTTTTTAGATAATTTACATCACACATACATACATACATACACTTGTCTAATGAATATTTATTTCATTTTGGTCAGTTTGATAAGGAATCTTGAAGAGTAGTGTAGCTGTAAGGCAGCCTGATATCGCCTCAATAATTAATGGGGAAACAAGGGCAATTAACGATGTTGGAGATTCGTAATCGATTCGCGCATTTGCAGACGACGCAGACGTCGCATAAATTGTTAATAGTCCGCCCTCTGCTGGGCCCCACCCCTTTGGCCACCCGCGGGCGTCCCCAACTCTTACCTTGGGCGAGAACAGACACGCAATCGTCACGCTGGCAGACAGGCTAATGGTCACTGACATGCTCGTTATGCGGAGCGGCACGTGGTTGGCGGTGCCGAAGTAGAGCGGCACAAAGGCCAGCCAAATGACGCAGGTGGTGTACATGGTGAAGCCTGGAACGAATTAGCAGATTGAATGGGCATTAAGGGCAAGGACTATTATAATTTAATCGCGGCTTGTAGCAACATCCGCTGCCATTAATAATAAACACTAGACAGACAAAAAGGAGCAAAAATAAAGTAGATAAAAGTTTACACAAATATTTAATATAAACTTTAAGATTCTACCAAAATTTAAGAGCCATTCACAGGCAGGTGTGCATTAAAAATAAGTATTATTACTCACCGATATGCTTTGATTCGTTGAATGCCTCGGGTATCTTGCGGGTGAGCACCGCATAGACAGTGCAGACCACAATCAGGACGATGGGATAGGAGAACGCAATCATATAGGAGGCGTCGATGTACGAGTCGCACACCAGCAGATTATCCTCGCGCACCGGATAATGATGTATGGCATGAGACGGGGCAATTACCATCCAAACACCATTAATGAGTATCTGCAGTGGCAAGCGAGTCGCATAAGTAGAGCAGCTGGCGTTGGCAAGCATTACGCCTCCTGCACTCACCTGGACGCTGATGAAACACGTGCAAATCACCAGCTGCGATTTGGGGCTAATGAACGAGGGCCGTTTGGCCGACTGTTTGCCAGCCTTGAAGATGCGAGCTATGCGATTCGTTTTGGTCAGCAATGCGGCATAGACGACCGTGAAGCAGAAGCCCACTGCGAACCTGCAAACAAGCATTGTAAGACAGACTAAGCTGGTGCAAGCACACACACACACACACACGGCCACACTTACCGTTGAATGGCGCAGACAATGTTGGTTGGCTTGAGGACGAGGGCAAAGGTTACGCCGTAGCACATAAATATGCCAGCCAGAAGAATGTAGCTCAGCTCACGACCCGAGGCGCGCACAATGGGCGTGTCGTTGTGCCTGAGGGGGCGGGGGGCGGGGCGAGGTGAGGTGAGCAAGCAAGAGAGCAAAACAAAGTTATAATAGTTATACAAAATATATTTATTTATATGTAAATGTATACATGTATGTATGTATGTGTATTTTATATATGTATGTATATGCCAACGCCAATTAAAATGACTTTTGCTGTTGCAACTGGATTGAAGACATAAAACTTTTTAATTGCCGCATATAAAAAGACGTGGAGTAACAACTACAGCTGCATATATATATACATACATATACACAAGTACACACACCTACGTCTCGCCTACGACTCACCTGACAAACACGCCCACCACAAAGAGCGTTATCAATATGCCAGTCGCACTGAAGGCCATGGCGCCAATGGCCCAAGCGGACTCGGGTCGCAAATAGACCTCCGGAATGGGTCGGCAGTACTCCTTGTGCGTATCGGGTAGCGTGCCCATTTTGCAGAGCACACACTGCGTTTCGTCATCGGGATGGCGAATCTGAAAAAAAAAAAAAAAAAAAAAAAAAAAAAAAAAAAAAATTGATAACAAATTAAATATGTATATATAATCAGAGAGCAAGTTCCGAAATTGTTTCAGTGGGCAACTTAAAGAGACTTAAATTGAGCCAAAAGTACAAAGTAATGAACGATTGTTATAAGTAGCTTAAGTGCTTAAATGCATTTTACATAAGCAAATCAAAGTAAAATTGCGTCATTGCTGTACGTGTATCCTAGAGAATGAGAGCTGTGGAGATGTATGGATCTGAAAGGTAGGCAGAAAGCTAGCCAATATATAATGATACCAGAAGGCATCAACAAATAATAACAATATAATAATAATATAATAATATATATTTAATAGAAAAAACTAAAAATAAATTAACAGAACAAGCTAACTTTTTATAAAAGATAAATAATTGAACATTACAAAATAAATAAAAGACTATTGCATAACAATAAAAATAATTCATTAATTAATAATAACAAAATTAGTATATATATTATATTTTGACTAAATAATAATAATAATAAATTTAGAAAAATTAAATATATTATATTTTAAATATATTATATTTTGACTAAATAATAATAATAATAAATTTAGAAAAATTAAATTATAAATATTTTTCTTATATATTATATTTATTTAAAACTTATTTTTTTTGCGAATTAGAAAAAATATTCTTCAACGCTTTGCAATTCATTTATCTTTTATTTTTTATTTTATTTTATTATTATTATTATTATTATTATTATTTTTTTTTTTTTTTGAGTGTCTTATTCTGCAATTTTTATTTATTTATTTTTTTTTGGTGTATTATTTTATAAGGTTATCACATACAAAAAAAAAAAAAAAAAAAAAAAAAAATAAAAAAAAAAATAAATAAATAAAAAAAATATATATATATAACAGAAAATAAAATCAACAAACATGATTTTTATTTTTCCGTTTAAAAATAAATGCATTTAAAATCCCATTGTATTATTATCATAATTTTAAATTAAATAAATTAAACTTAATGAAAAGGATTTCATTCAATTGCGAATTTTGTATTTATTTCTGTATTAAATATAAATAAAATATAATATTTTTTGCTTTACATTGCCAATAAATCTGGAAAAGCTCGACTTAAATAACTCCGCCTGAATATGAATAGAGCATAGCATATCAACCAAGTGGAGCAAGAGTTAATTCCGCCGTCATTCCATTAAAGTGAGGCACCATAACATTTTCTCTTAGCTTTGAGCAACTGAGAGTATTTGAAGTGCTTTAAGTAAAGCATTTCCGTGCGTTGCCATAAAATGCTCTTGAGTTCGCTTTAAGCGAATGCAGTTCATTTGGCAATTGAATTTAATGCTCATGGTGCGCATGCTGCAGCTTGTGCTCTTTATAGTCAGTTGGTGGACATTGAGGACGACAGCGCCGCCATTCTCTAGTTCTCACAATAATTCACTACATTACATTTCAATCAGGACAAAAGCCTGGCAAATAAATTACGAATTTTGCGCCAATTTGCGGCGTCGGTCCCCAGTTTCCACTTAAGCTTAAATCAAGCGACCAGCTGAATGCCATTGAATGAGCATTGCATTGCACTCGACAACGACTATTTGCAGTTGTTGTTGTTGTTGTAGTTGCTGTGTGGGTGAAATGGAGGCGGAAGTCTCACTTACTTGATAGGTCGTGCAGTTGAAGCAGTGCCAGCAGCAGCTCTCGCCCTCGACATATCTCTTGGCCTGGCCCCGTTCGCAGGGCAGACTGCAAACGGATTCCGGTGGTTTCGGATGCTGCAGCTTGAATTTTACTTCTGCAATTGGTCAAACAAAAGAATGAATATGTATGTGTGTGATTGTGTTTTATACCTGTTGAGTGAGTGTATAGCACTTACCGGACATATTCAGGCGCAGCTCGCCCTCGTAGTACTCGCCCACCTTGACCCAGCGATACTGACCCGCCACCGACTGCTTGAAGTGGATGATGTTATAGCGAGCTGGACCGTCGCCGTTGCCGTCAAAGCGAAAATCATCGCCGCTGAGGCCTGCACACACACAAATAAATGCTTTGGGGTTAAATGTGTTTACGGCTTGACGCCCTGAGCACCAGAGCCAAAACCAGAACCAGCACCAGAACCCAGCACAAGAACCAGGAGCACAGTCAGCCGCAGTAACAGAGATCCAAGGCTGCTGCTTCTTATCAGAAAATTGACAATTTGCGCGTTTTGCGTCAGTCGACGACGGACTGGCTGGCTGGCATGGTGCCTGGTGTGGCCTGGGCGTGGTCTGGGCTTGGCCTGGTCTCGGCTTTCTTGTATAATTTATTGAATTTCAAATTGAGTTCAATGACGATGACAAGCAAGTCAATTTTCCACTCGAAAGCACGACCAATGCGCCCCGGCCGCTGAGACTAAGACTATGACTGTGACGCAAGGCTAGCGGCCTGCGATATAACCACTTAAATTATTTGCGCAACACTTGTGACAACGACAACGCATTCACACAGCGAAACACAGGCAAACGCAGTGAAACACAGTGAAACCAGTCAACAGTTATCTAAGTTATAAAATAAAACTTTCGTTAAATATTTAACCAGCTCAAATCATGCTGCTGTCCATATCGAGCTGCAACCCTATTCGAATCGACGTGAGGCCTTAACTGTCCTACAGTCTCTTATAAATAAATATAGACGTCTGTTAAAAGCATATGCGAATGACAGTCGGAACTAAGATTTAACTATGAGCAGCAGTGTTGCCAGTGTAGCCTATTTCTGGCTAGATTTGGCCTATTTGAACGTAGGCCAGCCTATTTTTTTTTTTTTTCAGATAACCTATAGAACGTTTGCTATTCCATCTGGCTTATTTGTAGAATATTTTCAAATTGTTATTGTACTTAATATTGCACAATATAGGGGGCATGGCCAGAGTATTTTATCGGCCAATAGTTTATTGTGAGAGAAATGTGGAAAAAAATCTTAATTATTAACTTTAATATTCGTTTGGGATTATTTTTAAAATATAGGGGAATTCTAATAATTAGAAATGTCAATGGAAAAGCCATTTTTTTTGTTAATTACTTGTTTTTATATTTGGGAAGTTTTACATTAGTAGAAATTTTGGAATAATATAATAATATAAATTATATAATTATAAAATTTTTACTCCTAATCTTTTTATTATTATTTATTGTGTTTTATTTTTATTTTTTAATTTTAATTCTTTTGAGTGTTCAAGTATTTTTTATTTCATTATGGCTGAAATTATGGCATGCTACGTATTATCAAATTAAGCCAAAATATGTAAGGGAAAGCCACACACTTCAGCATGTATATCATGTATAGCAGCATGTATACGTAAAGCCTAGTTTAGTTTAATTTTATTTCGTTTAGTTTAATTTCGCAAAATCAAATTTAAATTTATAGGCATATAACGACGAATTAAGAAGATGACCAACTTGTGTGGAATTCTTACGAATTAATGAGCTAATTTCTTATATCAACAGCCTGAGCACTTGCCTCACAGACTTTACTAAATATATCATGCAATCCGCATAATATCTAAATTGACAATGTTTATTTCTCTGCTAAGCCAAGTTTTATTACTCTCTCTCTCTCTCTGTCGCTCTCTCTCTCTCTCACTCTCTCTTTAATCACCTATGCACGACATTCCGATTAGTTAACTTACCTTTGAATTGGACTTTACGCAGATATTTGAGCAAATCCGCGCCCTTCGTTGGCTTCATGGCATCGCAGAGCGAGGGCCGACCGCCGCACAAGTCACGATGCATATCCCTGTGTGTGGATTGAGTAGATTGAGCTGTCTATGCCAGGCACTCTGTGTGTTTGTGTGCGTTGAGTTGTGTGCATATAGCTTACCTCAAGGCATAGGCAAATGCCATTACCGCATCGCTAACGAACTGCAACTGATCCTCAAAGTCGGTGTTCTGCCGTGAGAGACGCTCCTTGGTGGTGCAGGTGCGCGTGTAGTTGTTGTAGGGTGTGCTGGTGCTGCCCGGGTAGCGGCATTGGAAGTGGTCCTCCCAGAACTCTGCAATGGCAGCTCGGTTAATTTACAAAAAAAAATCTCTTCTGGCCGCACACAAAGGCAGCGTGGACAAAATGGAATTTTTGCGTACCGACGAACCAGGGATTGCGCTGGTTGTTCTCCACGGTCAGGTTGAGAAAATATTCCTCAAATCCGCGCACGGGATTAGCCTGCGGCTGCACGGACAATGTGCCCTCCACCTAACCGATGAAAAAATGGACGAAAAAGAGTAGAGGATAGATAACTTTCGGGCTCACGTCGCGTATGCGTAATTAATTTGAGTTCAGCTATGGAAACCACTCGACGTGGAACTGTGGGGCTGTGGTGCTTTGGCTGCCAAATTAATTTAGCATAGCCACGCCCTTTGTCAAGCATATGCAACGCACACATAGACAGAGAGACACCCACACACACGCACACACACACACACGCACACACAATTTATTTCAATTAAACCATAATTCATCATAGAGTAGCAACATTTTGTCTGGTTGGCCCTTTCGACAGTTAGCATCATTTATAAATTTGTAGTTGGTGTCATGTCATAGCACCATCAGCCCCCCCATCACTCAGCTGCTGGGCGTGGCACATCAGCAACTCGCCGAACGGCTCATTAATCACACTTTCCCGCACATTTACGCTCATAATTTCCGCTCTGGCATCGCCCATTTAGTCTAAGCTGCGTATTTTTTTTTTTTTAATTTTTTATTTATCTACTTGCCTCTGGCTCATAGTCATCCGAGACGAGATTTCGTGCACTCCATCCATCGGAGCCAATCCAGGAGAAGGCGCCTGTTGCATTCGCACGCCTCACCGCGCGCATCACTTGCCTCACTTCCTGGTCCGAGCCGAAAATAATGGCGCCTGCCATGGTCGATTTTCAATTTGCCAAATTGCCACAGCGAGATAAACAGGGAGACAGAGAGAGAGAGAGAGAGAGAGAGAGGGAGAGAGAAAATGATCAAGAATTCATTTTAATTGCATTAAATATAAGGCGAACGAATTAACATGCTGCAAACCAACCAACCAGGGAGTCAGACAGCCAGGGAGTCAGTCTGCTCTTCGGCTTCTCTTCTCAGGCAATTCCCTATAATTTGCTGCATATTTTAATTTATTTAACGACGTGCCTTTTCATTGTAAGTGAATTGCAAATTGCATTTTCATGTTCATACATTACTCATTCATTTTTAAGAGCTCTCGACCAGAGTTGGAGCTTTAAATTTTGTACATCGAATTGTTTGTAGGCAGACCAGAAATTCATGAAACACTCAGAGTCTAGCAGCTGAACTCTTTTAACTAAATAAAAATTAATTTGTATAATTAATTTTGCTCAAGTAGAGACATAGTCATATTAGCTTCTAGATAAAAATAAAAATGGTGAAATTTAGCACAAATTATAAATATAAAATAAATAAATAAATAAAACGTTATTTACTTAACTCTTTTAAAATATATATTTAAATAAATTAATATACCATAAAAATAATTTGTCAATAAAAACATTTTTTTTTTTTATTTGCAATTTGTCTTGTACAAAACAATAAGCAAATCTTTAAACTATAACTATAAATAACCGAAATAAATAAAATGAGCTCAAACTTTTGCCCAATTAATACCAATGCCATGTTTTTTCATTAATTGCCGAAAAATTACTCGAGTTTATATAAAATATGTATTAATTAAAATAATCAAATTGCACATAAAATACTTGTTGAGCAAGCAATTAAATAAAACCATCAAAATAATGTTTACACCTATATTTATAAACGATTTATGATAATTGCCATTACATTAACTCGTTTAGTCCAAGGCTAAACATATTTCAACTAACAAATTCACTTATCAATTGAAATAATTTCTCATCGTAAAATAGAAAATCTAAACGGAATGTAAAAAACATGAATTTGTGTATTCCTATTCAATTCAATTTAATTTAATTTTATTTCTATTTTATTTACATGTTAACGCATTTCCATTTCCTGCCCTAGCAGCAATTTTATTGCCGAAACTTTTTGACATTTAACATGACAAATATTTCGAAAAAAAAAAAAAAATAATTTTTCAACCAAATTACAAATGCTGGCAGCACAAACTCCGTCAATCATACGCCCTGTGGTACGCTTTTATCATAAAAAAAGTCATTGAATTTGATTTGTATACTCTGTACTTTGAAAGTGAGCTCAAAAGGTATGCTGATTATCATTATTTAAGATTATTATTACTTAATAAATATATTTTTTAATAATACTGTGTTATTATTATTATATTTGTGCTTAATATTGGTGTTTAATTAATATTATTATTACTAAAAAAAAGTTATTAAAACTCTTCTAAAATATGTTCAATATTACTGATATCATGATGATGATAATAGGTTTTAATTTAGTATTTAATTTAAATATAATACTAGCTACAATTGCAGCGCATATTTTAATAGTTCTCAATTTTATATATATATATTTTCCTTTCACTTTTTTATTTATTTGAGGCATTGAAAACTCCCTTTGATTTACAAATATTAATCAAATGCCATTTACAGACAGCCAAGAAATATATTAAAAATAATTACCATCCGACGGTTCGGGCGGTCTTACGCATATCATTAATCAGCGGCGACTGAGCCAATAAGCGCCAGATGGCGCTGCAGCCACCAATAACATTGACTCCTGTGCGGCGTCACTTGATTTACATAAATGTGCCATCAGTAGTCGTTAAAGAATTGACTGGCTACAATGAAGAGACGAGGGCGCAGAACCTTTTGCCCCTTTTCTTAAAATATATATATATATAAAAACGTAAAGGGTTTCACTCCCGATCATTATTTATTGTGATTTGTGATTTGACGCCATTTACCAACACTGTGCCATTCAATGGCTGCCGCTGCTCAAGTATTTCGCTCATTTCGTCAGATGATTAATCAAACTGACAAAGTATTTTCACTCGCACGAATCTTTACACACGTGTGTGCGTGTGAGTATTTGTGGCTGTGGGGGGCGGGGGTTTTGAAAAATTACACGCCGAATCGTTAGTGTAACTGCGCCTGCTAACTGCCAGCGGGGGTGAATTCTAACTGGGGCGTGAACGTATGTATATGGCAGGATTTCGATGTCCCTTACATGCTTTTGCTCTTTGTCGCAACGGCTTAGGCAAATTTACTACGAAAATTCTAAAGCGATGTTAAATAAGCTTACAAACATGTTCAGGCGAATGACAGCTTGGGGTCTCGATAAAAAAAAAACTATATCCTATTAATATATAACGCAAGCAGAGTGACTCAGACTCTGCTTTAATCTAAATATAAAATTTATAGAAATCCTCTGCTGGATGTTTGCTTGACAAACTGTTAATCTGCTGCTTAACTCTCTAGCCGAAACATGAAAAATTGGAATTTTGTCATTTCCTGCACATGTAGCCAGAATTACAAACTGGAGCACAGGGCTCTTAGGCTTTAGAACAATGAAGCTGCTTGAGTGTAAATCCGATGGAAACACAAAACCATTCTTAAGTTGTCGTATAGTCCGTGCAGCTGTTGCTGCTGTTGCTGCGCCTGATTAAGTTTCGCTTAACTTTCAACTTGGCACAAAGGCCAATCGATAAGTTTGGCATTTGAAAAAGGCCGGGACCAAATTATGGCGCGAAACAAAGCCAGAAATGTTATTGAGAGAACGTGAACGTGAAAGTGGGAACGTGTGAAATGTTCGGCAACTCAGCTACTGCTGCTACTGCTACTGATAAGAAATGACAACTGCAGTCGGCACCGCAGACGTGAGGCAGCAGGCAGCCGGCTCAGTTTGTCTGTCCATAACAATGAAAGTCATAACAATGAAAGCAAAGCCAGCCAGGCGAGCGTCTCTCCCCACTGACCGTCGAGAGTCAAGCATCAATAAAACGGACTTTTTTTTTTTGTCCGGGACTGAAACTGAAAATGAAACTTAGACTGAAAGACTCAGAGGCTGAGCGACTGAGACTGAGTGAAGCGTTAAGTGGCTGTCTGAAATTCTTGCTCATTGTTTGCATTTTGATAAGTCCTGGCCAACACTTTGGCCAAGGCAGGACACAATGTATCCCTGGCAGGTCCTGTGCCAGCCCATCTACAGCAGCATCCATCGCCCTGTGTGCATGTTTAATTAAGTATCAAAGAAAAGTGCCTTTGTCTTTGAATGGTATACTGAAATGCTGGAATGTTTGCCTGTGAGCAGCGCCTTTTGCGGTTTTGATTTGGGTCTGATACTGTTTATATTGGCTTCTTAATTTGCATTTTGGGTTTAATTGGGGTGAATGCGATTGATTCTGCAAAGGGAGCTGAAAACATGTGACTTTGGCTGGCCTACATTTGTGGCTTTCTTTGCCTTTAAAAAAGATTCACATAACAATTTCCAGCAGTATTTAGCTTAAAGACTTTCGCAAATCATGTAAAAATTCTTATTATTATTATTTTTTTTTTTTTTCTGTAAAAATTTTTATATTTTATTAACAAGCTTACTGCTACCATAGTGGCAACTTAATCTAGTATGTAAAAATTCACTTAATTCAATTTGAATTAATAATTTCATAATTCTCTTCGATTGCGTCGTGATTGGCTGCTGATGTTGCAGTAGTATTAGTGCAGTAGTATTAGTGGGAGGCTGAATGCTTGTAAAGAGTTGTTGTAACTGTGTTATACGAGTGAGCTTGCGTTTAAGCTGTGCGCCCTTGATTGACGGCTTCTATTCTTTTATACTTACTGAGTGTGAGAGTGAGAGAGACAAATATAGCTCTACTGTTGCAGCAGTATTAGTAAAAGACTGAGCCACAGCTTGTGTGAGCTTGCGTTTAAGCTGCGTGCCCTTGATTGGTGGCTTCTATTCTTTTATACTCACTGAGTGTGAGAATGAGAGTGACAAATATAGCTCTACTGTTGCAGTAGTATTAGTAAAAGTCTGAGCCACAGCTTGTGTGAGCTCGCGTTTAAGCTGTGCGCCCTTGATTGACGGCTTCTATTCTTTTATACTTACTGAGTGTGAGAGTGAGAGAGACAAATATAGCTCTACTGTTGCAGCAGTATTAGTAAAAGACTGAGCCACAGCTTGTGTGAGCTTGCGTTTAAGCTGCGTGCCCTTGATTGATGGCTTCTATTCTTTTATACTCACTGAGTGTGAGAATGAGAGTGACAAATATAGCTCTACTGTTGCAGTAGTATTAGTAAAAGTCTGAGCCACAGCTTGTGTGAGCTCGCGTTTAAGCTGCGTGCCCTTGATTGGTGGCTTCTATTCTTTTATACTCACTGAGTGTGAGAATGAGAGAGACAAATATAGCTCTACTGTTGCAGTAGTATTAGTAAAAGTCTGAGCCACAGCTTGTGTGAGCTCGCGTTTCAGCTGAGCGCCTTTGATTGCTAACTTCCATTCCTTTATACTTACTGAGTGTGAGAATGAGAGAGACAAATATAGCTCTACTGTTGTAGTAGTATTAGTAAAAGATTGAGCCACAGCTTGTATGAGCTCGCGTTTCAGCTGAGCGCCTTTGATTGCTGGCTTCCATTCTTTTATACTTACTGAGTGTGAGAATGAGAGAGACAAATATAGCTCTACTGTTGTAGTAGTATTAGTAAAAGATTGAGCCACAGCTTGTATGAGCTCGCGTTTTAGCTGCTCGCTTTACATTCCTGGCTGTCATTCTTTGTGAGAGGGAAAGAGACGAAAATAGCTTTTGCTGAATATAGCACCGCGTTTGCTGTGTGAGAGAAAGGTGGCTACTGAGGCTATTCGGGCAGCGTCGCCATGATTGGAAGGGACGAAGAGAATTCGTTATTGGATTCACTTGTAAAGAGCTAATTATAGCATTGATCAAACTAACCGTAAGCTAATAAATAATTCACAATGGGAGTGAAAAACTTGAATATTTATTCTGAAAGCTGTCGAATATAATATTTACTTATATCTTTTCAATTCCTTATGCAGCTTGTGAAAGTTTTATATTTATGTAAATCTACATATACATATTTGCATACTTTTTAACACATAATTCACAAACAATAATCCCTTTCAGCTGAAGTCTTTATATGAATTTTAAATTTAAGCTCAATATTCACATTTCATTCTCTATTTATTATTTAAGACTATCAAAGGTTCATTTATATTTATTGTTTGTTGTTTGAGCGCACACACCAAATAAAAGTTATTCAGAAGGAGCGCAGTCATAACAGTGAGCATTAATTCTGAACTCTTTTACTTAGTGCTGTCGCATAAAAACTTTAAATTGTTGTTAGCCTTTAAAGCGAAACCAAAAACAGAATGCTTTTTCCTGCTCTAATTTAAATATTATTTTATATATTTTCTAAAAAACAATTGAATGAAATACTCTGTTGCTCGTTAAAGCAAATTTATTCATCAATCAACAATAAACTGAATATCAAATGAACAAGCAAACATCAAATAAAACAGGATTTAAGTAAATATAAACTCAATTTACGTTTGTCCATGCTCATTTTCATGTATTTCTTGGTTTTAATTGGTCTGGCACTTGGCTAGGTTTACTTTTATTTTATTTTATTTTTTTATTATTTTTTTTTTTTCTTTGTCTCAATGCCAAATGCTATAAAAACCATCGACACGATAGTTTGCTACAGTTTTAATGCTGTATATTTACTCTATAGACCCAAACAACTCCAGTTGAGCAATTTGAGAACGTTCGTCCCCTTGCCAGTTTATTTTGTCATTTGCAAAGTCGTCCGACTTAACATTTTAATTTCCTGCACTGGCAGCGCCAAAACTGAAGCCAATGGCAAACAGTAGAAAAATTTGAGCATCGAGAAAGCAATACGAAAAAGTGACTTTGATCGGACTTAAAGATACCCAGCAAATTGATTGATAGCCGAAAAATAAAATCTTTAAAGAGAACTTAAATTCAGATGATGAGTGAGCGAAGAATTAGTAGTCTAATTGTTATCTTATGAAAAAAATGTAACTACAGAGATCTCTAGTTGAGCTCTTGATGTATGAAGACAGTCAGTTACAGGGTATATAAGCTGTGAATTTAAATCAGTGCACTTTTCGACTGTCATTTAATTTGTGCAATTTCCGTAGTTTGCACCTCCCGCAGTTCGAAAAAATAAAAAATAAATAAATACAAAAATCTCTTGCATAAGTGGCTGTCAGCTTTCGGAATTTTTCGCGTTGACATTTAATTTAAATTTTTCTTTTTTTTTATATTTTATTTTTTACATATTGTTATTTTTTTATTTTTTTTTTGCCCATTTTGTTGTTTATGTTGTTATTGCACTCACCTCGCGCACGCGGCTTGGTGAGCAGCTTCTGCACAATATTATCGTATGCAATATCCTCAGCCACGCCCGAATCCTTGACGAGCTTCTCCTTAATGGCAATACAAATGTTATGGCGTGCCAGCAGCTCCTCTAGCTCCTCAAATGCCTGCAACAACACGTAGACAAAGGAATGGAAAATTACTTTCGTTGCAACAGCAGCGGCGAGAGTGACGAGCCGCGCCAAGAGTTTACCCACATCCGGGACATAAGTGCCGACCACCTACCTACCACCGACCCACCTAAAAAAAAACACAGAGCTTTCCGCAAAACAAATATGCAACGCTTCGTGTCGCCAAAGAAGGCAAAACGAGAAAACTAAAAAAAAAAAAAAATCAACTCAAATTGAAGCTGCAGAGAAACTGTGGCCAAACACGCGAAACTCAAACTCAATTCTCAAACTTAATTCATGCCACACTTTCCAAATTGAATAAGCTTCCATATGCATGCAATGTTGCAGAATAATGATATAATGGTAGTTTAAGTTCAAGACTTATATGTGGGAGTTATCGAGACGGTTAGAAGGATATGAAAGTGTTTTCTAATTGGAATATATTCTGGCGTGCCACTGATTGAATATTTTTATATACTTTCATCTATAGAATACAATTTATAATCTAATATGTCATATGAACAAGAGGATAAAAAGTTGAGCAATAATAATATGAAGCTTTTATTTGAATGAAAACTTCTTTAATACGAAATTTTTTAAAATTAAAAAAATTAGCGCGTTATTATTTTATTTATTTTATTTTATTTTTATATATTAATAGAATTTAAATTTAAATAAATACGAAATTTTTTTAAAATTAAAAAAATTAGCGCGGTATTATTTTATTTATTTTATTTTATTTTTATATATTAATAGAATTTAAATTTAATTTTTTTATTTTATTTTTTTTAATAATTTTTATTAATTTTTCTATAGCAAATTTTGTGCTATAAAAAATTAATATAAATTATATAAATTGAAAATTTGCAGAGCCTAAAACTGTTTTCATCATAGTCTAATAATTTTTTTGTATTTACCAAATATGATTGCATTTAAATCAAAGCTAAATTGTGTATTCTATTCAATTGACCAGCACTGTATGCATTATATAAATATGTGTATATGACAACTAAATGATTGCAACCCAAAGTAAATTTATAAAATCTTGTGTTTAATAGCTGCAAACAATTCATAAATTGCTTGCTTCCTTCAATCTCCTAACATTTTCAGCACTTACCTTAATGCCATAGTTGCTTTCCTCGTAGATAATCGAGACATAAGTCCAGCCCATGCTCTTCACAATCTCAACCATGGCCTTCACCTGGTAGTGGTCGGAGGGAATGGTGCGTGAAAAGTACTCGAAGCGCTGCTTGTTGCTCAGCTCCGGGCTGGTTGAGAAATACGAGACCTGCAAAATGTCGATGCATAAGCAAAAATGTTTGATGAAAACCATTCTATTAGAACGTCAACAAAATTGCGGAATAGCAGAAAAATAAAAAATATATATATTGACTGCAGTTGCCGATGTCGGATTGAAGCTGGCTGAAAGTGGTGCGCCATGCACTTTTCGCTGCTCACAAAGTAAAGTAAAGTGCTTGGGTTGGGGGCAAGCGCAACAACAACTATAACATTAACTACAACAACTACAACAAGTCTGCTTGCATGACTGCAAATGTCCTTGGGAAATTGCATGATACAAAATCATAATTTACTACGCCATTTCTTACTAGTTTGCAGCTTAAGTTTCCCCTTTTTAAAAGGCTTGAATAATAGGCACGAACATGCTATTTGGTATTCAATAACAGCTAAACTTAACTGCTGCATTCATTATGAACAATAAACTTGTCGTTAAAGTAATTGTTAGAGATTTATAATATATAAAATTGGCACTCTGTTTGTTTTGTTCTGTTAAGTCGAATTTAAATTAATTCAATTAAAATTCCCTATGGCTTTTTATTCTGGGCATGTGGTTTAATGGTACAAATATTAGGCACATAAACAATTTTTTTATAAATTATATTTTTTATTTATCATTCAATAAGATATTAAAATAAATAATAATAATAAAATATTTAATACAATTCTCAATAGATTAAAGCAAAAAAAAAAAAAAAAAAAAAAAAAAAAAAAAACACACAAATATGTATATATATGCAAAATAAAATAAAAAAATAAATATAAAAATTAATAAAATTTAAGTGTGCATAATACTAAATTGATAATAAAGAAAAAAAAAAAAAAAAAATTTCCCCCGTACTCATGTTACATTTTATCAAATAAATTTCCATTGTATAAAAATGATATATTAAAAATTTATATATTTTTTTTTATTAATTTAAATTCAAATTTTAATAGATATATATTTTTTTGTTCTTTTTCTTGATATGACAATATTTTATTTATTTTTACATGTGCTAAGAAATAATTCCAAGTAAAAGAGCTTCACTTGAAGTTGGATTTCCAAGAGCAGAAAGTTCATTCTCCCTAGGCTTATACACCCTGTGCTCGCCTACCCTGTGTTCGCTCACTGTGCTGTGGAGCAAAGGCATTGTTAATGGAAGCCACACACGAGTAGTTATATTTTTCTCGCTGATTCCACGAATGAAGCCCACTTCAGGTTACTTGCTTATTGGATTTTTGAGAACTTATGACAGGGTAGCCAGATTACCTTAATTTTAACGATGTTTAAAGACTATTCCTTATGAAAAATTGCTATCTTAAATAACTAGTTTTAAATGTGCAACTCAATGCTCATATTCAACATATTTCCATTTCCATTTCTCTTATTTAATTCGTTTACTTGTCCTCGTATATTTGCTAACATTTTCATATATTCTTACAGTATATGCAGCTGCTCTCTTATTTTTTTTTAAGCACTTCTCAGCATGACAGCTTATCCTTTCCAGGGTAGCCAGATTACCTTAATTTTAACGATGTTTAAAGACTATTCCTTATGAAAAATTGCTATCTTAAATAACTAGTTTTAAATGTGCAACTCAATGCTCATATTCAACATATTTCCATTTCCATTTCTCTTATTTAATTCGTTTACTTGTCCTCGTATATTTGCTAACATTTTCATATATTCTTACAGTATATGCAGCTGCTCTCTTATTTTTTTTTAAGCACTTCTCAGCATGACAGCTTATCCTTTCCACACCATTTTCCACGACGTAATTTTCCGGACATCTTTCAAAAGTTTTCTGTTCGCTCTGCAGTTGTCGAGGCTGTCGGAGATTGTTTGGCTCATTTGTGCAAAGCTGTGCAGCCAGCGAATCACAAAGCCACTGACAATGCAGCGACTTCGAAATGAAGGCATCAACCGAAAGCCGAAAACCGAAAACCGAAAACTGAAAACTGAAAACCAAAAACCATCGAAGCCTCGTTTTGGGCACGGCTTAAAAGTTTTGCCACCGCCCGATAAAGAAAAAGAAAAAAAAAAATAGATCTGGCGTTGCCACTAGAATTCAATTTCATGCGCAAATTAACACCGTTTGCTTTCCGACTGTCAGAGACTTGTTAACCTATTGAACCAATTGCAATTCATTTGCACTCGCAAGCAAACGCAAATCTAGAGTCCAAAGCGTTAGTTCGCACGGCCCCTAACACCTCCATTTGCAGGTGTTTGGCAAACACCTTGATTTTGTAATTAAGTGCCATTTCCAACAGCTGCCGCCTCCTACTCTCCCTCCTCATTTCACTACGCGCTCGGCTGATTCTGTCAACAGCTCTGCAGTCAAGTGTTTCTCTGCCGTCTTTGAGACTGATAATGAAATTCTCAGAATGTCGCCGCTTTGTGCAAATTTTCTCAAGCGATTTCATCGCATCACATGTCTCCTTGGAATTAACACACTAAGAACTTCCGCAGCTAAGCTAACAATATGTAAATAAAAAAAATAAATAAATAAATAAAAAAAATTGTATTGAATTCTTTGAATTGACTGAAATTAATGCTTGTTTTTCTTCTTTCTGCAAACAAATTAAGCTGCTTTGACCAAAAACTAACGGAAAACAAAGAAAAGTACAGGAAATTCAAAGGAAAATACTATTTGCAATAATTGAATTTTTATTTTCATTTGTTTTGATGACGATTCTATGAACTGTATAGAAGAAGCTTTTAAATGCTTTTAGTGTTTTTTTTTTAATATTTTCATGAATCGACTCGAGCTGCTTTCCTTTGTGTTGTGCGGAATATTATCCATTCATGCTTGCTCCGAATATTAAAATGAAGTCCCTCTGAGGGCACATAAATATATAGTTTTTTTTTTTTTTATCATACATCGCATTGTTTAACCTTGCGTATTCCACTTGGGGAATTACATTTGCACTTTGACTGCGGATTAAGCGTGAGCCAGCGGCGCTTTAGATGCTTTCTTTCCACTACTATATGTATATGTATTTGTTTGTAAAGTATAAAACTATCAGCCTTTATGATTCCACCAGGACGTAAACCACAATCAAACGAGAGAACAGTTCACTGAACAGTAGAGCAGATGTTAGTACCGTTGACTCTTCTCATGGCATGACTAGAAATTGCAGCCTTCTGTAATTTTTCTCTCCAGCAGGGCGTAAATCAAAGTCAACAGAGAGAGAGAGAACTGTTCACTGAGTTCATTGAGTACATTGATTACACATGTGGGCTCAGCTGAAGCACACTCGGTGCGATTTTTACCAGTTCCATTTTCCTATACGTACAACCATGTTCATAAACCCTGCCAATATTTTATCAATATGAAAATATAAAATCACTTTGTAACTCTTTGTTTGGTTTTGAAACTTCTTGACTTTGGCTTGGCATATTTGATGGGCCACTAAAGGTTGACCGTATATGGCACATCAGTTGCCTTTGTTCCGCTCAACATTGTGTTTTGGCTTTATTGTTTTTGTTTCTGTTTTTCTGGCTGGCCACAGCCATCAACTAGCAATGTAATGCAATCAAATGCTAACGCTTGATTTATGACCAACTCGGGGCTGCAGCGAATTGCTGGCGTTGGGTGCGTGTGCGTTTTATGGCATCCATGCAGCAGTAGTCGCTGTTGGAGTCCTGCTTATTGTCGTCTATTGACTTTTGGCTGTTGGCCACGTAGCGGCAACGCCACGTTGGCTACTCAATCTTTCGACGTGACTTTTCGACTGCCACATGACGTTTTAGTTAATGAAATCGTAAGAGTGCTCGAGTTGGAGGTGGAGGTGGAATGGGAGCTAGAGCTGGAGCTAGAGCTGGAGCTAGAGCTGGAGCTGAAGAGTGTACCTATGGAGGAGCAGCTCTAAGTGCTCTAGGAGCAGCTTCCGGGTGCAGCAGCTGCACTTTGTGTGATTTGTTGGCCCAGTGGAGCCACGTGCTGGTCGTTAAACTAATTTCCAGCTAAGAGCATCGAGCGACAAATGTTGTGCACTTTTTAATTGCAACCACAAAAACTTTGCACTGCTAAATTGGCCAGATTGTAGATTGCTGACTGCAGATTGCAGATTGCAGATTGCAGGTTGCAGTTTGCAGGTGGCAATGCCAAGCAGAGTTGCGAAAAGTTTGGGATAAACGAGAGCAAGGCTAGAGCTAGATGGCAAACGAAAAGTTATGTATACGACATGTGCAACGACTTACTTGGGGTATCCGAAACAATCTCAGCAAATTGGCCACCTGTATGGATGTCACCGATGAGGCAGCACCCACCACGCCCGATATCACCTTGCGCACTTGCGTCTTGTTGCAATGATATTCGGCATCGTCTATGTTGCTAATCGAGCCTGCAAATAAATTAAATGTGGAAATTTTGAATTAAAATGAGGATTTTAAATATTTTAGCTTAATGATTATTATTATTATTAAATTATATATATACATATATTTATCATGTTATTTTTTGAAGTGATTAAATTCATTGTTATTATTATTAAAAATGTACTTACATGGGTAATTAAGTAAAAAATTAAGTAAAAAATATACTATTATTATTACATTTATTGTATTATTATTACTTTATTATTTTTAGTATTATTTTTATTACTATTATTATAATATATTATTAATATCATTATTTGTGTTTATTTTTATTATATTATGCAAATATTCAATAAATTCATTCAATAAATATTTTATTCGCTATGTGATAATTAAAATTCACAGCAAATCCCCAAAGTCGAAATTTCCATTCTTCATTATTTATGCAAATCTTCATTCAAATAATTATTCCCATATGTAAAGCTCAATTCATTTTTGACTTCCGCAAATTGAAATGGTTTCATTTTAATTGCATGTGATATTTTTGCATTTAGTAATTCCAAGTGTTATCAACTCAATTTAAGCTTGTCAGCTTATCCCAGCTCAATTAAGATTTAAAACTAAAAACTAATAAACCAATATTGAATCATGGATGGCCTGTGGCTTGCACAAAGTTGTAAATGAAAAGTCAACGTTGTTGGTCAAAGTGGAAGCAGCAAGAGAGAGAGAGAGAGAGAGAGAGAGAGAGATAAAGTGAGAGAGAGAGATGGAGTGCTCCGACAGCCAAAGTCCAAACTAAGCAAAACTCACACAAAGTAGTAGTTGTTCATTTTGTTTTTACACACACAAACGCGACGCCGACCCCTTGGCAATTATTCATTTGCATATTTGTGCGGGAGTTTTTTATTTTTAATTTTTTTTGCTTTGTTTTTGATTCGTTTTTACTGTGCTCTTTTTGGATTTGGTCTGCTTTAGTGCTTTCTATTTTTTAATTATAAAACTTTTCATGCTCGGGAATTTGTTGCACTGAAATGCGCCATTAAATAGTTCGCAACTGCGCGCCACTAGGTGCAGCGCTTTTATTTCACATTATTTTCAATCTCTTTTGTTTTTTTGGTAATTGAATTTACACTTTACTCAACCTACTCATTTATTCATTTGCATGCAAAGTATTTCCTTATTTATACCCCAATAAATAATAAACAGCTTATTTAAGCGGTTTTTGTTAAAGCTCTCTGAAAAGTTCTTCTAGCTATATAGTTCTTACGTACGTATATAGTTCTTAAAGTAAATAATTTTACAGTTTCTCACAACTGTTGATATGCGGAAGCTTTTTCCTCAAATTGGCTGATTTCTCAGTGTTCTAGTATATCATATTAAGTAAATGTAACGTAACATAATAATATTACGTAAACGTAACGTAACATAATAATAATACGTAATCGTAACGTAACATAATAATATTATGTAATCGTAACGTAACATAATAATATTACGTAATCGTAACGTAACATAATAATATTACGTAATCGTAACGTAACATAATAATATTACGTAATCGTAACGTAACATAATAATATTACGTAAACGTAACGTAACATAATAATATTACGTAATCGTAACGTAACATAATAATATTACGTAATCGTAACGTAACATAATAATATTACGTAAACGTAACCTAACATAATAATATTACGTAATCGTAACGTAACATAATAATATTACGTAATCGTAACGTAACATAATAATATTACGTAAACGTAACGTAACATAATAATATTACGTAATCGTAACGTAAGAATATTACGTAAACGTAACTTAACGCTATATTTACACGTAAAAGTGTAAAAGTGTACGTGTACGTAACGTTGTATGAGATGCTTTAAGTAAATATATCATATGACGTATTCTCAACGTATGTGCGCTATTTGTTACGCAAATCATATAATGCATACTCAACGTATGTGGGATATACGTTACGTATATAGACATTCCATTTTTAAGTAACAGAATGCTGGTCTTCATATCTTTCATTTAAACCAACAATTTTGCCGTTTTTCTAAGACAAAGTTTTTTCTTCAATTTTTGCCTCTTGCCCTATTGAGCCACAGCCACAGAATTCCTCAGAGCCAACTCCAGTGGCCTTCGCTGGCTTGCACAAATGTGGAGGTCCATGAAAGGACGACGCAATGCTATGTAAAGAAAGCAAAAGATCACAATAAAATGGATTTCTTGAAGTGCTTTGTAGATTAAAAATAAAATATATATGTTTCCACACATTCATATTTAATATCGAATAGCGATTACTTAGTAGAAACATATTTTTGTATTTATAAATTTATTTATTTATAATGAAAAACCAATCAATTGAGACTTATACAGCAGATGAGATATTGTTTACTATTTAAGCTAACTGTGTTTCAGCAACTGTATTATATACATACATATAATACCATATGTAAACATACATCTAATTACACAAAATTTAAATAAAATACAATCTGTCTAATATTATTTGAATATTAACATTAACCAAGCTATATATATTCGTTTATATATATTAACTAACTAGTTTGAGCGGATATGAATATTTGTTTATTACATTCTATTTACGATTTGCATGCGAAAACATGTCTGCTCAAATTTCTAAAATGTTATTTTGCTAAATGTTATTGTTGTGCTTAGGCTCATTAACAAATTATTAAAATAGAAACCAGACAGGCCGAGCTCTCGGCTGACCAGCTGCTGTGCTACAAGTAAACAAAAGTCGCCTCAATGCGAAGGCGGATCAAACAAACGTTGGGCTCGGGTTATGCCTATGGAGCTGCCAGGCCACAAAAACATGCCATTTGATGGAGGCAGCTGTACTTAAATACAAATTAATTAACTCTATCGCGCTGCTGCTGCTGCTGCCAGGCAGTGGGGGGCGCGGCCTGTTTTATGGCTGCCCCGCCCCGTAATGATGGGGCCGATGACGATGACGATGCAGGGAGCATTGGGCATTGTAGACAATGCGAGGTGCGAGGTGAGAGTTGCGCGTGGCTCATAGTTTGCGGCATGCCTAATCCTGTCAATATAATTCAGTGACTTGGAAAATTATATTTTTCATACGTCAGATGCGTAAAACATGGCCGCAAGTCCTCGCAGCGGCACGTCGCTCAAGTAAATCCTTGTTACGCACATAAATAATGAAATTATGGAGATTAGAAAGTGTTCAGGCCTAGCACAAGGACAACGAACGAGCATCGAGCCACGAGCAACGAGCAACGACAACAACGGGCCCCAAGCCAATACTTGGCACCCAGGCGCAATTGATTATAGATCGTTGCGGCTGTCGTTGCTGTCGTTCTAGCTGTCGCAGTCGCAGTCGCTGTCGCAGTCGCAGTCGGTGTCGCTGTCGCAGTTGCCGTTTCATGCGCCGCTTTTGTTGCCAGATAAAAGCAATAAGCGCCCCTTTTATGGGCCCGGGCAAAGTGCCAGACAGCGCTGTGAGGCCATCTCACATATGTGGCCATGCCTCCGCCATTCGCCGCCCATTTTGCTAACTTCCGGCCGGGTTGATCTCTGGCGGGGCACTTAATTTTCGCTCGCATTGACACGTGGGACTTGTGCTCTTGTCTGTTGCTGTTTTCCTCTATGCCAAAGTGTGTGAGAGTGTGTGAATATTCAATAAATGACACCGTTTTGTCTTAAGGGAATTATGTATATTAGTTTTGGGCGCATGAACGGCGCTCGGAGAGCTTAAAGGTCTACTGTCTGCTTACTCCTGATTCCCCGCTGAGAAATCGTGTAATTTATTTATTAATTTTGTTTATTAATAAAGCGTTCAGCGCTCAAGTAAATCGCATTTGCGTCAGCTCTGCACAAGCGTAGACAATTCAGTTCCCAAAGTAGCTGTGCTGAATAGGGGAGATTTATATTGAGAGGCTAAAAAATAAATAAATTTAATTTAAAAAATAATCACCTATACAAAAAAAAAAAAAAAAATAAATAAATAAATAAAATAATAATAATAATAATAATAATGATAAAATTAAATTAAATTAAATTAAATAAAACTAAATAAATGAAAATAAAATAAAAATAAATAAAAAAATTAATTTTTAAAAATTAAATAAATAAATAATAATAACAAAATATTATTAGAAAAGAGTAAATAAATATAACAATTAATTATTAATACAAATAAATAGAAATTGAATAATTGCATGAAAAATAATAAAATAGATAAGGTAACAAAAATTCAATACCATAAACAAATAATATAAATAATTAATATAATAATAAATAATACAAATACATGAAATATTAAAAAACAAATGAATACACAAAAAATAAAAATAAAAATTATAAGTAAATAATTTTAATTAGCAATACAAAATCGATAATTAAAATATTAGTTACATATAAATGTAAATTTTATTGCTTTTGCTTCGCTTATAGTGGCATATCTATCATTCCACTCATAAGCCTCTTGAATTACTGAAAAAAGTTGTAGGCGCACGCTCATCAGGCTCTCCTTGTACTTTGCAATAAAATCACTTCGAGTTTGAAACTCCGTTTTCAGATGAAAGGAGCCGAGAGTTGCAGTTGTATCCAATAAAATTCACACTAACATATAAAAATATTGAGCATGCTCTGAGCATGAAAAACTTGAACTTTAATCGCGTTTGCCTCTTGAAAGTATTGACCAGCGCATTTCATTCTATTTAAGGGAGGTACAAACGGGGCAGAGTCTGGCAGAAACTTTGAAAGTGAGCGAGATAAGCTCTGCAGCTGAGTGGCGTCGGAAAGGCGCAGATTAAAGTGTCTGTGTATTGGCATAAGCAGGTCAAGTATGAAAGTGAGAATGAACGCAGAGTTTATGGAGAAAATGCGATGAGTCTGGTGCCGTGAAAGTATTTTGAATAATTTAAAATATGCTATAAAAATTATATTAAATATAGTTTTTTTCTTTTTTTGTCCTTTTTCTTTTTCTTACACATATATCATTTTTATATTTATCACAAATTATGAAAAGATTAATATTTTTAATATTTTTAATTTAATAATTAATCAAAATATAAATAATTAATACAAAATAATAATATAAATAATATATAAATAGGAAATACAAAATACAAATGTAATAAACAATTTTATTATTATTATTTAATCTTTCCTACACATTTATCGTTTCATGAATAAATGTATCACATTAACATTTATTCATGAAACGATAAATGTGTAGGAAAGATTAAATAATAATAATAATAAAACGCATTAACGATTTTTGTTTTTCCTTTGTTTCTTTCTCTTTTTTATGTACATCATTCATATTTAAATAAATACGATTATTAATAAAAAAAAAAATATATATATATATATATATATATATGTATATGTTATTAATGTTAAATAAAATTATGTATTATTATAATTGTTTTCTTTTATATGTGACTTCTTGATGAATAAATGTAAAAGTAACAAAATATAAATACATAATACATAAAGTGAATAAATGTTATTAAAAAACATTTTTTTTTTCTTTTTCCAAATACATAATATTTTAAAATTAACTCATATTCAAAATACATCTATGATTTTTAATTATTGAAAAATATAGTTTGAATATAAATTATATAAATATCTGTAAATCATTAATAGAAATGATAGAAGACAAATGGAGGTACGGAATGATGAAAGGGAAGCTCTGTTCTTTCGGATTCAATTTCTTAAAAAAGACAAGAATAATCTTAGTCAAAATAATAAAGTAACCCAATGTAGAGCTGCTCGATTTCTTCTAGAGAGTCTCCTGGCAGAGTTATTAAGATAAAACCAAGTTGAAATCAAAGTCTCATAACAGCTTCGTCCACAGTCCCAAACAGCTCACCTTTAATAAAGTCCACGGCCATTTCGAGGCCGTACGAGTCCTTGTCGCAGTCGTCGAGTATGTGCGCGCCGAGCGTGATGTTTGGCAGCAAATGCATCTCGTTGATGCGATCGATGGTGTAGAGCATGGCCTCGAGGGCCTGGATGCCGCCCTGCGGCATGATAGGACCGCAGGTGATGCTGTCCTCGCGCGAATGCACCATCATGAGGCCGCCAATTATGACGTCGCCCTCAACAATGGCCTCGCGCTTGACGGGCCAGTGGCGCTGCGGCTGGCTGGCATAGAGGCGATCCTGCAGAAAGTCGACCGAGTCGGGCAGCGAACGCAAATATTTGCCGCCCAGCTCCGATATCAGTGGCAGCATCAGATTGTTGGCCTGATTGTTGTTGTTGTTGTTGCTGCTAATGCTGTTGCTGTTGGCATAGTGCGGCGTCACGTGGCGTCCACGATGGCGGCCGGAGCGCGTCGAGGGACCGCCAGCGGGCGACAGGCTGAGCGGCAGCTCGATGTTCGCATAGCGCTGATAGCTCTCCAAATCAAAATGATTATTGGCATAGTCTAGCTGGTCCACCACATGTTGCTCCAACTGTGGGGGCTGTGGCGTCTCTGGCGACTGCTGTTCCGCCCGCTCCTCGTCGTTGACATAATCGGGAAATGTTGCCGGCGTGGCCGAGTGCAGCCAGTGCGAGTGTTTGCCCAGCTGTTGCTGTCGCTCTTCCAGCTCAAGCGCCTTATAATGATTTTCTCTATAAGTCCGGCCATGAACACGATGCTTATGCTGATGCAGATGCTTTCGCTGCTGCTGCTGCTGCTGCTGATGATGATGATGATGGTGATGATGTTGGTGGTGGTGGTGATTAATATGATGATGCCTCGCGGCTGTGTAGCTCTTGAATTGTTCAACTGGAAAAAGCAGCTGCTGTTCTGACGCTGGCAGCTCCCTCTTTGGCTGCTCCTGCTCCTCCTGCTGTTGCTGTTGCTGTTGCTGCTGTTGGCCATCGTCCGCGGACCACTTATCTCGTATATCACCAATAACCGCACTCTCCGCGCTGCCCGCACTCGATTCGCCCAGCGCCAGCAGCACAATAACAAAAGCGAGCACACACAAACGATTCGAACATGCTAATTTCATGTTTGCATCGACTTTAATCTTGAGTTAATTCACAATTTATTTTGATATTATTTGGGTCGATATATGTTATATTTCGCATATATAGCCATATTTCGGATTTGAAAGTTTCAAACTATTTAGAAAAATCAAATAAAATATATAAAATAAAAGTTTTGTTTTCCTCTTTTTCGTTTATTAGATTTCACTTATTTTGATTGCACTCATTTTCTGTGGCATTTTGTCATTTGCTTTAAAGGGGATTTCAGTTATTATGAAAACTAAAATTGCATATATTACTAATTTTTTTTTTCTCTCTCATTAAAATTTCAAGAATTTCATTATGCTCATTTCTGTGGTATTTAATCTTTGTTTTTATATGAATATTATTAGGAGTAAATTTTGTTATGTTACATATGTTTTTCTGTTTCAACTCTTGTCTCACATTTCGCGTATTAAATTTCACATATTTTCATTGCGCTCATTTCTGTGGTATTTAAATGTTGCCGCTGTCTACATTTCATTACATGGTCATTAAAATTGCTAAAATTCTGTGGAGCTGTCAGCGGCATTGCAACCGAACTCTAATATCATTAGAGAAGCAGCAGCGCCAGCCACGCCCAGCTTATAAATGTCAACTGTTAAACACCTGCCCCGGAAGGGCGCCCATAAAAATGATTGCCCAGTGCTCTTTGTTAGTGTTGGTGTGGCCTAAGGTAACCGAAAATTTTGCATAGAATTTGTGCGTGGCAAAGGCGCAGCACAAAGCGAAGGCGAGAGCAAAAGCGAACGCAAAAGCGTTGCCCTCATAATGCACAAATCCTTTGCAGCAACTGAAGAAGGTGCCGCCAGGGCTGGGTTGGGCCAGGGGCGACGTGTAATTAATCAAATTGTTGGCGGCATAATGAGCTTGTCGGCTTGTCGGTGTCAGAGCACCTCCGAAGGCAGACAGAGCAGCTGACAGAGCAGCTAGCAGCACGGAGCACCCAGTGCCACTCTCAGCACTGAGTTGACTGACTAATCAACGGGCGCATTAGCGCCGCTTTCCAGCCACATTCTCGGTCTGCAGTTTCGAGTTTACAAAATTACTTATCATCAGCATAATCAGCGGCATTATCAAGTCGATGGCAGCGAGGCAGCGAGGGCGACACGAACTGGGGGTCGGGTCGGGTCTGTCATTACCAGCCCTAACCTCACTGGCCTATCACTCAGCTCTGGGCTCTCAGATCTCAGCTCTCGGCGTTCGCCTCTCGGCTGCAGCAGCTGTGCCCTCAACGGCTGCGGGACGCATCTAATAATGAGATTGCGTTAAACAAATGGTGCTTTCCTTTTATTGCCCTTAATAGACACCGGAGGCTGCTTACACGCTCGTAATTTATTTTGATTACATTTGTCGTTCTCTATCTGCCGCAGTCTCGCCCTCTCTCTCTCTGCTTTGTCTCAGTTCATTGCTGTTTCACACTCTAAGCAAATGAGCGTGTGTTTGTGTGTGTTTGAGCTTGCTTCAGAGATTTTAAGGTTCACTAATAAATGGATCAGTCATTTCCCATCAAATCAGTTTTTAATGCCTTCTTTTATTATCATCGAATTTGTCATTGCAAATAAGCCTTAAATGGCTATCAATCACAATTAAATCTGGATACAATTTGGAATCTCAGGTAAATTTTAGGTTAAATGAGTAAAACAATTGGTGTTGCTTTAATTTAGCCGGTTGATCTATAGCTCTATCAGATTATCAAAATTGCAAATTAAAGTGAAACGTTTTAAATTACATACATATATGTCGGATGTGTGTTAATTCAGTCATTTTCCATTATACTTTTGTATTTGAATGCCAGCTGCGCCTAATAATGAATTTCTGGTGAGCATCATTCACGCTGTGTTTTTCCAGAATTCCAATCTACTCCCTGCTCATCGTCTACAGCCAATCAGAATGCCACTGACTACTCAAAGACAGCTATACTTGACTCTCTCACGCTCAGTGAAAGATAAGAAGCGAACAGCTGCATATGCTGCCTTATTATACTAACACTGCTTCAACAATGTGGTAGTTATATTTGTCTCTCTCTCACACACACACTCAGGTAGCGTGAAAGAATAAAAGCCAGCTTAGGCGCAAGCTCACATGGATAAACACAAGCTGAGGCTCACTCTTACACTAATACATGCAACAGTAGAACGACATTTGTCTCTCTCTCACCGTCACATGGAGTGATAGTTAAGGAATAGAAGCTAGCTAGCATTGAGAAGCGCTCAGCTTGGGTACAAGCTCACGCTGTTAATTCATTTACAACTTTATACAAGCTCGCTGGCTCGCACTAATACTATTGCAAGAGTAGCAGCCAATCGTGATGCAATTAAAGAGAATTGGAAAACTAAGAAATTGTAAATTTTTTTTATATATAAAGGAAACATAAAAATAAAGAAATTAATAATAATAAGAATTAAGTCCAAAATCTCATTCATTTTATTTTATAAATTGAATATATTTATAGTTATCAATTTAGAGATTAATTATAATCTGATTCATTTATAAATATATACTCATAGCATTATACTAACGACTTAAATCCAAATTTAGACCTACAGCTCATATCTAAAGACAAAGAGTTATTCCATAATTAGTTTATGCGATTATTTCTTCCATATTTCAAGCTGATTGAAGCGCACATTCGGCTTACGCCCACAAATAGTGTTGCCCAAATGGGAAAAACTTATCAATGCGCATACGAAACCGAAGCCAAGGTTGCTCCACTTCAGATTCTTTCTGGGATGTCTTATCTAGGCTTATGCTGTGCTGCTCGCTTCGCATGTCTGCGCCCTGTGCCACTGTAGCCCACTGGAACTTGGCCGGGCTTGTCATTGCGCTGTGTGTCCTTTGTGCTTTGTCTTATTGGGTATTTGGATGTGGGGACTTTGATTTGATTGAGCATTTCGCTCACTTGCTGTGTCCCTTTTTGCGCTCATTTGAATATCCCAGACGAGCTGGCATTGAAATTGAAATATGTATGTTCGCATGTATCGGAATGATGGAGAAACCCCAGCCAGCCCCTAGCCCCAGTCGGGATTTAAAGATAATTTGTGAGTGCCCGGGACAGCTTTGAATGCGGCCAATTTGTTTCTACTGTTGCGTGGGTGGCCCACAGAGCTGGCTGACTGTTTGGCTGGCTAGATTTCAGCTTGTGCAAATTGATTTTCATCGATAGCGCACAAAGTTGCATAAATTGCCACTCGATGTGTTTGCGTTAAGCCCGGCGCAAGGTCAGACACTCGATACGATGGCCGCTTAACGGCCAATATCGTATTAACTATGCATAAAAAAAAAAAAAAATACAAATAAAAGTATAATAAAACAGCACCATAAAATAGCACTCGTTGCGCCGTTAAGTAGGCTGTGAAAAAGAGAGCAAAGCCTGTAATTTATGCATTCATCGGACGCCCCAAGTGGTTTCACTTTGTCGCAGTCGCAAAGAGCATCAGCTGACTAAAGTCCCATATATATTCCAGTCTGATGCGGGAATATTTAAAGGGCAGCGCAATTGACTCAACGGCCCTTTAAAGTGTATTGCGTGCCTCCCTCCGAATTTCCATGATGTTGCTGTGACAGGCGTAAAGTATGCTAAACAAATTGTTACATTTACATAAATGCCAGGCGAACAACAGACGCATCAAGAAATTTTTCAAATTCGCATCAAATAACATTCAATCATACTTTTGTGCACACACACACACACACACACACACACGCATACACACACAGGTGGCTGACACCTGGACAAGGATGTCAACGTCCTGCAGCTAATAGCTTGGCTCGACGCCGACGCCGACTCCAGCCGCGCGGATTACGCGACGCCTTCAATTTGTTACGCGACGAAGCAAAAAATTAATAGCAACATATGTAAAAAGAAAAAAAAAAAAAGTGCCAAAATGCTGCAAACACAGCATACGAATTGTGCTCGACGGCTGAATTATGAATAACTTTGACAGGTGTACGCATACGCGCTGATATGCAAAGTTCTGCCAAAGAACGCCACTCACCCACACACACACACACGCCTCTGCAATGTCGCTGTCTACGTCAGTTACAAATGTCTTGCGAGTGTGTGATAAATTTCGTTGACACGCACCAACAACAACAACAACAACAGCTGAGAGCAGCCGGAAGATATTGTACGCAACTGTCTCGTGGCTGTGCTCTATTTACAGTGCCTACGACTGTCTACGTATGTATGCGCACATGTCGCACATCGCTGCCAGGTAATCAGCAACAATGTCAGCTACACTTTTGACACTTGCGCAATCATTTTTAATTTGATTAGCAGCCAAAGCCGAGTGGGAGACCAGCTCGTATATCATTTGATTGCTGCTCTTACCCGCCATTGTGCGGCTCATAATTTTCTCGAAAATTACAATTTTCGGCGAAACCTATTTTACGCGTAATTTATGTGAGTGTGAATGGAATAATATGAAAACAAAATGATAACTAATGTATATATAAAATGTATTTATAAATAAAATATACAATAAATAATATATAAATAAAATAAATAATAAATAAATAAAATATACAATAATGATAAAATGTGTTCTCTTATATATTATATATATTTCATCTTTATAAAACAATATAAAAAATGCAAATCAAAAATATAAATGCATATTTAAAATAAATAAAATAATATATATATATTTTTAAATTACATTTTTTTAAATTATATATTTTTAAAATATTTGATTGTCATAATGATTTGTTAGAATATTAAAAAAAAAAAAAAAATATATATATATATATATATATAATAGAAAAATATAAATAAATTCTTATTCAGCACAGAATATTAATAAAAACAGAATATTAATTTAAACAACAATAATTAAAACAAATATTTTATAAAAAAAAAATAAATAAATAAAAAAAATAAAATAAAAAAAGAATTAAATTAATATATAATTATTTTTAAAATATATATAACATTTAATCAGAAAAAAACTAATTAATGAAAATTAAAAAATTTAATATTGTTAAAAATTAATAAAAC